CCGCTTGTGCCCGCTTCGAAGTATCGGCCGTCACAAGCCCCGACCCTGCACTCGTTACTAACGATTGCCTCATTGAGATACCTTTGGTCCGTGTCGCTGTGTGCCCACGAACCTCTCTCACTCTAGGCTTGCGTTCTTGTTTCTAAAAGATAAGAGCGCGCCGCACGATCCGGTGTCAAACCACTCGGACCGTGACACTAAGGAAAGGGAATGGAAAAGTCTAGGGGGTGGGGAATCAAGTTGGAAGGGATTAAGGGTAATGAAGAGGGTAAAGAGAATAAAAAAGTATCTAACAAACAACAACAAAAGGAATTGGGTCAGTTGATTCTCATTCCCTTTGATGAATACCCCCAACCAAACGACCCCTTAATTATAATAAAATAACATATAATATTGGCCAAAATCTTCAAAATTTCTAAAAATAGCGTGGATATTGGCCTTCAATTTTGGAATTTTTTGACTTTTTTTCACCCGGAATAAAAATTGCCAAAATGTTTAACATGGTCCCTAATAACCTCCGGGAGTCCAATTGGCTAGGTGGAACCATCCAATTTGCCTTTAAATAACCCATTTACCGGTTTACAACTTGCACCGATTTCATTAACTCACGCCTTCCACGAATATTTATGACAACATATAATGATCATATACGGTTCCAAACGGCATTATATGACCCCGAGATTTATCCCCTAAAATCTCAATACTTTTCGACACCGCGCCCCGAAACATTCGAAATTTCTCAAAAGCGTGGATATAAATTCAATTTTAGAATTTTTTGACTTTTTTTCGCCCGGATATAAAAATTGCCGAAATGTTTACCAAGGTCCCTAATATCCTCCGGGAGTCCAATTGGGTGGGTGGAACCATCCAATTTGCCTTTAAACGACCAATTTACCGGTTTACAACGTGCACCGATTTCATTAAATAAAGCCTACCACGAACATTTACGACAACATATAATCATAATAAATGGTTCCAAATTAAACGACATTATATGACCCCGAAATGTATCCCCTATAATTTCAAGACTTTTTGACACTGGGCCCCAAATCCTCCAAAATTTCTCAAAAATCGTGGATATTAGCCTTTAATTTTGAAAATTTTGACTTTTTTTTCGCCCGGAAATAAAAATTGCCGACATGTTTACTATGATCCCTAATACCATCCGGGAGTCCCATTGGGTGGGTGGAACCATCTAATTTGCATTTAAACGACCAATTTACCGATTTACAACTTGTACCGATTTCATTAATTCAAGCCTACCACGAACATTTATGACAACAAATAATGATCATATATGGTTCCAAACGGCATTATATGACCCCGAGATGTATTCCCTAGAATTTTAAGACTTTTCGACACTGGGCCGGAAACCTCCAAAATTTCTCAAAAAACGTAGATAGTAGTCTTCAATTTTGGAATTTTTTGACTTTTTTCACCCGGAAATAAAATTTGCTGAAATGTTTAACATGGTCCCTAATACCCTCTGGGAGTCCAATTGGGTTAGTGGAACCATCCAATTTGCATTTAAACGGCCAATTTACCGGTTTACAACTTGAACGGATTTCATTAACTCAAGCATACTACGAACATTTATGACAACATATAATGATCATAAATGGTTCTAAACGGAATTATATGATCCCGAGATATATCCCCTACAATTTCAAGACTTTTCGATATCGGGCCCCGAATCTTCCAAAATTTCTCAAAAAACATGGATATTAGCCTTTAATTTTGAAATTTTTGACTTTTTTTTTCGCCCGGAAATAAAAATTTCCGAAATGTATATCGTCTGGGAGTCTCATTGGGTGGGTGGAACCATCCAATGCCTTTAAACGACCAATTTTCCGGTTTATTACAACTTGCACCGATTTCATTAACTGAAGCCTACCACGAACATTTATGACAACAAATAATGATCATAAATGGTTCCAAACAAAATTATATGACCCCGAGATGTATTCCTTAGAATTTCAAGATTTTTTGACACTGGGCCCCAAATCCTTCAAAATTTCTCAAAAAGCGTGGATATTGGCCTTCAATTTTGAAATTTTTAACTTTTTTTTTCACCCGAAAATAAAAATTGCCGAAATGTTTCCCATGATCCCTAATATCGTCCGGAAATCCCATTGGGTGGGTGGAACCATCCAATTTGCATTTAAACGACCAATTTATCGGTTTACAACTTGCACCGATGCGATTTCACTAACTCAAGCCTACCACGAGCATTTATGACAACAAATAATGGTCATATATGGTTCCAAACGTCATTATATGACCCCAAGATGTATCTCCTAAAATTTCAAGACTTTCGACACGGGCCCCAAAACCTCCAAAATTTCTCAAAAAGCGTGGATATTAGTCTTCAATTTTGGAATTTTTGGACTTTTTCGCCCGAAAATAATAATTGGTGAAATGTTTACCATGGTCCCTATTTCCCTCAGGGAGTCCAATTGGGTTGGTGGAACCATCCAATTTGTCTTTAAACGACTAATTTATTGGTTTATCACTTGCACGGATTTCATTAACTCAAGCATACTACGAACAATTATGACAACATATAATGATCAAATATGGTTCCAAACGGCATTATATGACCTCGTGATGTATTCCCTAAAATATTAAGACTTTTCTACACTGGGCCCTGAAACCTCCAAAATTTCTCAAAAAGCGTCGATATTAGCCTTTAATTTTAGAATCTTTTGAATTTTTTTTGCCCGGAAATAAAAATTGGCGAAATGTTTACCATGGTCCTTAATATCCTACGGGAGTCCAATTGGGTGTGTGGAACCATCCAATTTGCTGTTAAACGGGTACCGGTTTACAACTTGCACCGATTTACCGGTTTACAACGGTCAATTTAATTAACTTGCATTGAATGAACCCGACTCGAAACGAAATTGACCCTAACCTGTTTTAACTCGTCAAAACCCGAATTTAACCCGACTTGTTACTAACCTGACCTGAATTCAACTCGACATGTTCCTAACCGACCCGAATTTAACCCAACCCGTTACACCCGACCCGAAATCAACCCGACTTGTTATTGACTTGACCCACATTCAAACCGACTTGTTATTGACCCGACCCAAATTTTACCAGACCTATTACTTACCCGACCCAAAAATTCAACATGATCTGTTACTAACCCGACTCGAAATTAACACGACTTGTTATTGACCATACCTAAATTCAATCCAAATTGTTCCTGACCCGATTTCAAATCACTTTAAATGCAATTTAGACCACCTTATTATTGTTGATCAAAGTATTTTGTCTAGGGAGACCAAGTCGATTTAGGCCAGCAAAAGAAAAGAGCATCATCCTCAAATTTAAGAGTTAAATATAGTATATATTTGTTGTATGGTCAAAGGAGATAATTATCTTCCTAAATTGTAGACTATAGTTCCCTACTATATTGTCATATATATTATAGTCAAAGGAAATAATTAGCTTGATAAAAATGATAATTATCTATTTATAGTTAGTTGAATCCGAATATGACCTGACTTGGAAATGACCCGACCTGATTGTAACCAGCAAATTATTGACTTGAACATAACCCGACTTGAATCGGAGAATGACCCAACCTGATTATAACCCACAAATTATTGACTTGAATTGAACCCGACTTAAACCCGAGAATGACCGAACCTGATTATAATTTGCAAATTATTGACTTAAACCGAACTCGACTCAAACCCGAGAATGACCCGACCTGATTCTAACCCGCAAATTATTGACTTGAACCGAACCCGACTCGAACCAGAATTACCATAACTTGTTTTAACCCATGAAAACCCAAATTAAACCCGACCTATTGTTCACCCGACCCGAATGTAACCCAACCTAAACCCGACCCAAACCCGATAAGAAATATGACCCGACTCAAGCATGACCCAACCCAAACCCGACCCGCATAGGCTATAGAATTAATCTGAATTGACGCGACCCGAGTTGACCTGACCCACTAGCCGACCCGTTTACCCGAATTGATTGCTCTATAATATGGTATAGCTTAGTGGCTAGCAATAAAGTTTTGAAACTTGAGGTCTTGAGTTCAAATTTTGTCCAATCCATATATTTGAGCACATAATTAAAATGAAATACTTGACTAATTAAGAAAGGTGTTACGTGACATATAAATTGATTTAGGAACACATTTTAATATATAGTATAGATATTCGTGTTTTTAAACTGAAGTTCACACAACAAAAATTAGATTTGCGATCACAAGTTACACAAAAGATGTTGCCCAGTGTATACTGAGTATGTTTTGGCTGATTTGAGCCCTTTGATTGATTAATAAATTTTGAGCTCGATTCCCGTCTCAAAAAAAAAAAAACGGCTATTTCACCAAATGCCACTGACAAATTTAAAAATTCACCAAATGCCATCGTACTTTTCAGAATTCACCAAATGCCACTCAGTTTTTAAATAATTCACCGAGTGCCATTAATGACTAACGGCCGTTAACTCCGTTAGTCATTAGGGTCTAATCATGACACATGTCATGAAATGATTAGTCTATTTATTTTAATTCTTAAAAATTAAAAGAAAATAAAAAAATTAAATAAAAACAAAAAAAACCCCAAATTTTCCCAGTCACCTTCCCACCACCGCCAAACCCTAGCCCCCTCCCCATTTCTCGCCGGAAAACAGCCGGCCACCCCCTTAACCACTAAAAAACGGTCGATCGGCCCTTAAGCACTCCACCTGACCCACCGCCAACCCCCAAAATCACCCACACATCCTACCCCGACCCCAAATGCCACCAACATGAGCTTTGATTTAAACACCCATCGTTTTCCAACCACCGCTCAAAACCACTCCTCCTATCCTCCACCCTTGAAACGATGAAGTCGGCCATAGAAATCGACCATTGTAAATTTCCATGGTTGATTTCGATCGTTTGAGGGTGAAGGGTTTCCACAATCGGGTTCTATTTTGGATTTCTGGGTTTCCATGGTCGGTTGTGGTGGCTATGTGATGCGTCATGTTGGTGCGTGAGGTGGTTGCGGGGGTTGGGGTGGGCATCAGCGCAAGGTCGTCGGGTAAGAGGAGTTTTGTGGGTCAGTGTGTGGGTGCTGGAGTTATTGGGCATTGTGTGAGATGGGGTCAAGAGGTTCCGGCGGGTTCCGACGGAAGGTTAGAGGGTTCCGGCAGGAGGTCAAGGAGTTCCGCGGTTGGCTTTGGGCCGTCGGTTGGCTTGGGCAGGTGGTTACGGTGGTGGGGTTGGGTTGGGTTAGGATTTAGAGTTTTTTTAATTTAATTTTATTTATATTTTTTAAACCAATAATCAATTGCCATGTGTCATGATTAAGCCTCCGTTAGTCATTAATGGCACTCGATGAATTATTTAAAAACTGAGGGACATTTGGTGAATTCTGAAAAGTCCGATGGCATTTGGTGAATTTTTAAATTTGTCAGTGGCATTTGGTGAAATTTTCGAAAAAAAGAAAAATGTTGCCCAAATGAAATTATCTATGTTCCAATTCCACAAGAAAAAAAAAAGGTAAAAAGAAAAAAGGAAAAAAAAAATCAAATGAAGAGAATAAAAGACTCAATTCGTTATGATCTTTTTTGACTTCTAAACAAGAAGTGGGAGAAAATAGTTGAAGCAGTAGCAAGGCTTGACCTTTTTAGTTAACATCACCGCGAAGCTCCTCAAATCACAAAACCCAGTTCATAAATTATACACTGCGATTCATTAATGGAAGATAAAGCAGTTGCTGTGATCTTGGTCGGTGGGCCCACCGAAGGTATAAATCAGACCCATCTGAAAAACTCAGAAAGATCAAGACTTTCCTAATTAATTTCATACCCATTTGATTAATTTCTCAATTCATAGTAATATATTGTGATTTCATATGTTTGAATGTATTGGGTCAATTTCAGGAACTACATTTCGACCGTTATCATTCAATACTCAAAAACCCTTGTTTCCTATTGCTGGCCATCCTATGATCCACCATCAAATTTCTGCTTGCAAAACTGTATGTTATCTTATATAGCTGTTATTAATGCTGAATTTTGATGATTAATTTTTGTTCAACTTTGATTGATTGAGGGTTTATTCTGTATGTAGATACCAAATTTGGTTCAAATCTTTCTCATTGGATTATATGAAGAGCGTGATTTTGCTTTGTATGTGTCTTCAATCTCAAATGAGCTGAAAGTTCCGGTTAGGTGAGTTTCTATCTTTGTTTTCGAGTTTTCGTTTGAGCTATTCTTAGAGGAATTTGTGACTTTAAACTAATTTGAAATCATAGAAGAGTCAAGGTTGAACATGAGAACAGTCAAGGTTGAACATGAGAACTTCATGTGATCTCAAATTGAACTAGTGTTTGGTTTCTGTGTTACATTGTTTTCTTTGAATCAAGGGTTTTCTTAAACTGAATTTGAGCATTTACAATTTCTATCTCGTCTTTAGATACTTGAAAGAAGACAAACCACATGGGTCTGCTGGTGGACTGTATCATTTTCGAGATCTGATTATGGAAGATGGGCTGGTTTGTAGCAAGCTTTTTACCTATATTAGTGATGGATTGTAATCATGTACATTCCTTTGAATATTGAATGAACAAATTTTATCTAGCTTTGTATTGTTGAGTAAATTTATTGGCATCCTACCATATCAACTAGATTTGAATTTAACTGAGAAGTGAGGACATTGACTCAGAATCACTGATTTCTTTTTGTTTCCTCTCCTCTCTTTTTGCAGTCACATATTATTCTTCTGAATTTTGATGTCTGCTGCAGTTTCCCACTAGCAAACATGCTGGGTAATGTACATTATAGCTCTTTAGTTAGTTTGCACTTTCGATTTGTCTGTGGTGATGTACACTAATGGATCTTTGAAGGTACTACAACTTAACCCCTGGTTGTTTTTGTTTGTTTTGACTCATTCAGATGCCCACAGGAGATATGGTGGTATGGGTACATTGTTAGTAATTAAGGTTGGTTACTTGTTAAAACCAGTCTTTAGAATTGCTCCAATAATTCCTCGATTCACCCTTAATAGTGATTCTATCTGCAGGTTTCTGCTGAATCAGCCAACCTGTTTGGTGAGTTGGTTGCCGATTCTGATACAAAAGAGTTATTGCACTACACAGAAAAGCCTGAGACATTTGTATGCACCCTACTCAAGTGTCAATAGTTTCTGCGTTGTCATTGTAGGAGTTTTTATATCTTGTTGTTCATTGCTTTGTGTGATTGCAGGTTAGTGATTTGATAAATTGTGGCATATATGTGTTTACTCCAGAAATTTTTTCAGCTATCCAGGGTGTGCTTGCCAATCAGGAAGACAGAGGTTATTTCCATTATTTGTGCAATCTTTTCCTTAAATTATAAGAGGGGTGCGGGGAAAGGGAAGTGGCCTGGGGGGGCTTTATGCAAACTTTTATAGTCAACACTCCATTTTTTCTAGACTTTTCACACTATTGGTCTCCTTTTTCTTACTGGGTGGACAACAGGGTGGATGGTTTCTGTTACTGTTAATTTAGTAATTTTTTTTACCAATTTGGACATGGTCTTAAAACTAACTTTACATGATATGACTCATATGAGTGCTAGTCTCAGTCATGCTTCTCTTTTGTGTAAATTGTAGAAGATGATGAAGCATCCTCTTTTATGATTGTAAAAACTTGACATTAACCTCATGTAGTTTTACCAATATTTTGTTTTTTTCATTGACTATTGTATCCATGTAATGCACAATACGATTATGTGTTGAAAGTCAAAGAAAGACTCACAATGACAATGCACTGCATTCCTCAAGAGTTTACTGCCACTCTGCCAGATATGTTTATCCAGTTAGTTTTGTTCAATAAGGTCTTAAAACTTAAGCTTTTTATGTGAAAAGGAAGTGTTAAATATGGGAAATGATATGAAAGACTAAAGCTTTTCCTGAGTTTTTATGTTACACAATCAATTAAGATTTTTTTTTTTTAATTATTTTTTGTAAAAGACAATTAGATTGAAATGTATTGGAGTCATGGGAAATGTAAAGTAGCCAGTTCTTGTTCCTTAATTTCAGTAAATCAGTAGTGATTTTATTCTGGATTTTAATTCAGACTTTGACCTTTGAGCTGTCTTTGACTTTGGCTTATATAGATGTATTACCTCTCATGCATGTTACCCTGTAGCATATGTTTTTTAAGTAGATGATGATAGAAATCTATCCAATCCTTTTGTGAGCGGACGAGTGAACTGTGAAGCAATTAATTTTTTGTTGAGATGTCATTACTAGTCAATTTACAGTCAAGAGAGAACCTTCTCTCTGCAAATCTGCTGTTATTTTTCTTTACTGAGAATAATTTAATTTCACAGGATCTCTACGTCGCTTGTCCAATTATGAGTCATTGCATTCAGCTACGAGGTATGTGCTAGCATTCCTATGACTGGGTGACTTTTATATTTGAAATTGTTTTGTTTATCAACTTTAACATGAAAATTAGCCTAGTTTACTGAGATTTCATGTAAATTTACTATGAAACTTTGTTTTGACTTGATGAAGACATGTTCTAATAATTGGCATATAACTGTTATATTTTTCCAGCCCATGAGCTGGAATGTGATGATTGTATCTCTGCTAATCTGACATGCTGTGGCTGTATCTCTTGAAACCATTTGGGGGTTTTACCTTATATTTATCAACTGAACCTTCAGAGTTCATTTTAAGGCATTAGGAAGGTTTCTATTTTTTTTTTTAAATAAAAAAACAAAATTATATCTTGGCTCTTTTAACCAAAAAAAGAAAGCTCATGTGTGTTACCTTCAATGTTGGCGATAGGAACTATCTGTATGCACTTATTTACTTCAGAGCTCTTTAGCACACTGATTGAGATCTGATATCAAAAAAATTCTTAAAAGGGCCCTCCCTGCAGATTTTGTAAGATTGGACCAGGACATTTTGTCTCCTTTGGCTGGAAAGAAACAATTGTATACCTATGAAACATTGGATTTCTGGGAACAAATTAAGACTCCCGGGTATGTTCTTTGACAAAACATTTTATATTAAACCATTTAACTTTGGAGTGTCAATGCTAAATTGCAGCCATGTTTGATTGTACACAGCATGTCCTTGAAATGTTCTGGGTTGTACCTTGCTCTATTTCAGCAGAATGCTCCCCATCTTCTGGCTAGTGGGGATGGTACAAAGAATGCTACGATTGTTGGTGATGTTTATATCCACCCATCAGCTAAAGTACATTCGACTGCAAAGGTAACAAAAACTTGTCTAATCATTACTTTGTGATTTGTTAGTGTATCTCGATGGATATGTACTGACCTAGGGTCTTATCAGGATATATTCCTAAGTCTAAAACACATATTCTATAATTTGTATTCTAAAATGCTTCTCTTTTTAGAAGCATATAATACACAGTTTCTAATTTTATTTTTATTTGCACAGATTGGTCCAAATGTGTCAATATCAGCTAATGTTCGCATAGGACCTGGTGTAAGGCTTGTAAACTGCATCATTTTGGATGATGTTGAGATTCAGGTACAGAATTAATGAAAATAATACTTACTAGTAAAATCAATACATTAATTGTAATATGACTAGATACCTTTTAACCTTCTGCAGGAAAATGCACTTGTTACACATGCTATTATTGGATGGAAGTCTTCAGTTGGGAGATGGTCACGTGTTCAGGCAAGTTTTTCAGTGATCTAATTTCTTGTATTACGAAGATTATGTTTGGTTGGGACTTGGGGGATTTCATTTTTCAGTTAATGCGGTTTATTCCATTTCCTCTAATTTGGTATGTGAAGGGCTGAAATTAGTTTTCCCAAGGGCAAAATATAATTGTATTTTGTAAAGAGAATGTAACATTTATAGCACGGAACCAAATAAAAGAAAATCATGTTTGAAACTTATCTTTGTATTAAGTTCTTTGATCATCACATAACTTTACATTGAATGTTTCATATAGGCTGATGGTGATTACGACTCTAAGCTTGGAGTTACAATCCTTGGTAATGACTACATCCCTTCAGTTCTTATGTCAATCTCAGGGTTTGTTATCTTACTGCAGATTTTTTTTTTTGACTAAACACTTCAGATTCTGAATATAGAAATTTCTCAATGCAGGAGAATCTGTTAATGTAGAAGACGAAGTTGTTGTCATTAACTGCATTGTTCTTCCAAACAAAGTTCTTAATGTGAGCATGCAAGAAGAGATCATATTATAGTTACGGAAGCATTTTCTGATTTTTCTCACATGACTTGGAGTGGGCAGAAAAAATTCTGCTATGTTAAGTGTGTTTTGCACCTAGTGATAGTTGTCTGAGACTTGATGTTTTGACTGATAAAACATCTTGAGCAACACATACTGAATCTCTAATTTCTGAAATACTGGTCAAAGCCACCTCATGTATCTATCTTCGAGAAGAGTTTTGCAAACACTTTCTTTTTTTACTGCATCTATCTGATTGAACAAGTGAAATTTTTTATCTACCTCCCCATGATTACCATTACATTCATGATTCATGGCATTTTGGTTCGTCTTGATGTATATATGATTAAAGGCAGGCCACCGATTTAGAACACAAATGTGGGAAAGATAGCCTGAAGAGCTAGACAACTTTTCAAATGCTTTCAATGAAGTTGAGCGGAAAAAACTTGATTAAATTCCTAGTCCCGAACGATTCAGTTAGCATGACAGTACCTCACCCCTCCCCCATAAATAATGGGAAACAAAACACACACACACACTCAGAGAGCAGTATGCACTATAATACTATATAATTATTGACATTTAGCAATGCAGTCATTTTTCTTTTGTTTTTAGTTTTCCTTTGTTTGTTTTTCAGCCGTCTTTTGATTTGTTCTTTGTTCTTTTGGGGCTTGCCCCTCTCGATGGAAACGGAGTTTTGCGAATTCTCCCCGGAACTAGAAGATCATTTTGAGATCTTCGAAAGTGCTACAAGAGTTTTTTCAGCGTCTGTCAATCTACCAAAAAAGTATTGTACCCTTGCATAATCAGTCACATCAAAAAACGATACAATTTCTATCACCTACACAACTACCTCTAAATTACAGGGTTTTGACCATATCAACAGTATGAAAATAGTTCATTCACAAAACAGACTTTCTTACACAAGAACCTAACCACAATCATCCTAGAGATCTGTAAATGGCCGATCAAGAACTTCCTCATCTATCACTTGGACCGAGTAACCATCAACTATCTGGGAACGGAATCAACCGGCAACATCGGTACATCATTTTAAGGGCATGCCCTAAATGCTTGTGTACAAGAATGATGGACAACAATTTCGTACTGCTATAAAGCATCTTGGTACACACTCTTCTCTGAGACACTGATATATGGCAGATTCATTTCAAGATAGTGTCCCCAAGTAAATCATTTCTGCATCAAAACTGCAAGATGAAGACAGTTAACCAAAGGGCTAGCCTGCTTTCATTGGTGAGGTCGTAACTCAAGTTTGTATGCCTGTATTTCCATGGGAGGGATGACAACATGCCCCTCTTGCACAACATCTCCAGAAAGCTCAGTATAACCAAGCATCTCTGTATCGTCGTGTAGGAGATTCAAAGATGCTGCTTTTACGTGCATGACATCCAGGTCTTTGAACAAGCTATAAAGATTAACAGGTTCATCTGCTAATTTTGTGCATTGAGATCTTGCAGTTCGACAGTACGATGAATCCCAACCCCGCCTCTGAAATAGTAGAACAAACCTTGGATCTTCTACAGGATGCTCCAAAACTGAATACTTTGAAGGCCGGGGCACTTTGAAGTCCACAATATGCAAATCACATGGTAAAGAAGAAGTAAGAGGGGAGAAGAATCTCGGCGGTGGTGGTTGTGGGGCAAGTTCTTGTGCTTTCTTAGCAATGAACGCGTGTATGGGATAATTCAAGTGAGACCCAATACAATGGGACAGCAAAGAAGGGTTTAAAGAAAGGGCTTTTGAACTGGGATCTAAAACAGAAGAAATATTGGACTCGGGAAGGATGTGAAATACAACAGTCATTGGACGGTTGTCAGTTACCCCTTGCCCAAGACCACGCCCATCATCATTCAGCAAACGACGATCAAGCATTATCTCCAGCCATCCATTTTTTAGGCTTGCCACACCCAGTGATTGACGCGAATGAACTGAAAACCGGCGACCATCAAGTCCTTGCATAAATGCAAGGGAGGGCATTGGGTAATAATTTCCCTGCACAGGAATCTTATCATATGTTTCTCTCCGGCTCATCTGAAAACCATTTAAATCAGAAAAGAAAATCTTCCTATTCTCAATGTCAGTCTTGTATCTGACTATCAGCTCCTTGTCATTAAACTGATCCCCAAGAAATTCAACATGATATTCCTTCTCAATGACAAACTCCTGAATGGTATTTTCCCCATTATAAACTCGAGTACTGTGAGAGATAGGTGCTTCATCCCATTGAGTCTTTGGATAAGAATACACTTCCTGCATCAAAGGGCCTGTGGTAACCACCAACTGTCCACCAGCTTCAATGAAAGGATGTGCATCACCCACAGGTTTAAACAGGTATGCACCACTTCCCTCGCTACTGTACACGCTTATCTCCTCGCCCACATTATTTAAAGAACCATCACTATTAGCAACTTTAATCAATAAGCCAAGATTTGCATTGAAAGTAAGAGTTCGATGACGATTCTGAATTACAACCACCTCTCCCTCTATTTTCGAGCAAGCATATGGTGCAGGACAAGATAACTGATCAGAAGTTGAAATTTTCAAGTCTGCCAGCTTTGCTTTCTCACACTGCCCTGCTCCATGAACAAGATAATACGTTTGAAGCCCCAAAGCAGGAATAGAAGCTTTCCAGTGGACACGATGCCTCCCTGTAAATATTTGGCCCTTATCATGCTGCATTTCAGGAGAAACCTGGCTCTCAATACAAGTCCAGTTGGAGTCCAAGACACTTATATCTGGTTTGTCAACAATCGCCATCACAACCTCATTTCTGGTTTGCTCCAGAGGATTAAAGATGACCACTGATCTTGCAGCTCCTTCTTGGACAATAATACCCTTGTGAATAGCCTGTGCGTCATACTTGGACCTCACTTGTTCTGGCTCAAATTGAGAGGGATTTTGTTCATTTTTCTCAAAGCGAATGCCAAGCAGTACTTCAATAGCTTTGGACATGAAAATTTGCAAATCCTGCAAAGAGGTATGCATTCGAGTTCCATAGTCCTTGACCACATGATTCTTAGCTGTACCAGTTACTCCATCATGATGCTGAAACAGGGCTAAATTCCTCCTTGCAGCTGTCAACTTGTGCGCATAACTAGCCGGCAACTTTTCACATTGAACTCTGTGACAACGTCCTAATAGCAGTGCCATCAACATTTCTGAGGCGCGAAGTGTATGCTCCAGAACACGATCAACAGCCTTAAAGAAAGGCCTTGAAACATAATAGCCACTCCAATAATCTTGCTGCCTATCAGCATAAGTAAAGAAGTCTCCAGATAAAGAAGGAAAACCTTCAATTTCGCCAGATCCGATCTCGCCAGGAAGTGAATAATTCACTCTCTCGGCCTCCTCACGGAGGGTTCGAAAGTAATCATCCAAAGTGCCAAACTTTGCCTCTGCATTTAAGCTGGGATTAGAATTAATATAATCGAATAACATTTGATAATTCCTAAACTGTGCCTCTGCTTCATCTATGCTGACATAACGGAAGTCATCTCCTAGAGGAATAAGAAGTGTGTTTGTCCTGTATAAGGTTGATTTCTTTCTGTACTGATCCAACAGCTTTCCTACTCTCTCCTGCACATTTTCCTGATTTGTCTCCACGGGATGATGACCCCAGGGACAGAGTTCATAAATAAAACCCCGCATCCGAGCAAAATCAAATTGACAACATACAGCTGGCTCAGGTCCGCATGTATGAGGAACATCGTACGAATAGAAGGGCATCAAATGCACAAATATATCTGTAGTTTCCAGGGCATCCCAGCTCTGACGCCATACAAATTCCAAGTTTTTATGCAAGGCTAATTCCTTTTTGAGCTCATAGTGAGTCCTTTGTATCAGCATGTTCTCAAAACCCATGCGTCGGAGAAGATATGCCATTGTAGGAGAGTATCCAAATGGATCAATTGCCCAAGCATTTCTAGGAACCACTCCAATGGTCTCATTTAGCCACATATTACCCTCAGTCATCTGATGCATAAAATTAGATCAGACAGGAGCACAAGCAATATTAAATGCAGCAATAGTACTAAATAACTATAAATTGATGTATAAAATCATCATCTGGCTGACCAATAATAACATAAATGAGCTACTGTAAGGTCTAGAATTCTAGAAGGGGGGAAAATAACCCACAAGGCATGGCATGACAAGCAAAAATAAATACAACTTTACACGGATACAGATAGTAGCCCAATCAACAAAGTGTTATGGCTAACATGAGATACATTAAGACTTGATAATCAAAGAACTCAGAAAATGGGATAAAATCCACACATAATCCTCATAGCACAATTACACACGCAAATAAGTTTGTTAGTGTAAGATGGTCACTATTTTAGAAAAATGAATCATGAACTTTGCACAAATGCCTAGATACAAATTTACATGTTGTCAAATAAGACAAGTTATCTTGGCCGTCATAACCACCACATAGCAAATATTATCTTTATAAGAATTACCAATCATGAAGATCAGAGGAACTTAGCCAGCCCTGTAAGCAAGAGAAAATATCTCCATAATGGGAGTACAGCTATAGAAATACTCGGAATAGCATGATAACCTCTTACGGCAAGATACTTTCAGATTGTTGAACTAGGCTAAGAATACAGAACTGCAGACAAGTATCAGGCCTTTGACCTGTGCCTCAAATGTGAATTTAGATAGAATAGCAAAACATGAGATTAATGTAAGAATTAAAGATGCTGCTTTCAGTAAAGACATATTTAATAAAGCATAAATTGATTTTATGTAAAGCTAGAAGCATCGATGATAACACGGTCATCTATGGGTTGTATAAGCTGGGATCATTGAGCATAGCTACAAATACAAACACCTCAGATAATGTGAGGGAACAGGGAGCTCCTGTTCCAAACTATTGTTGTTCGCAAATATCATACATTAAGCTAAATCTAACTTGCTAGTGCACAAAGGCCCTTATTGTAGGTGTAATATAGAAGAGAATATGTACAGATAACCTCACCTGCTCAATGATAGCATAAAAATGGGAGTTGGCCTGCACACACATAGGAAATAGATGTTAGCTGAGTTTCAAATACTATTTAGTTTTATCTATTTTTCCACTACTCACCAAAGTATCCAATAAAAGGTTAAGTTATAAAAAAAAATAACTTGCTACTTCATTACTTCATAAATCAATCAACAACATAATTTAGTAATTGATGATAGCAACAGCTAAACAGCCGCAATACGGTCAATGTCAAAAAAAGTGTTACCTCATCATTCATTACCCAACCACCTCCAACAATTTCTAGCTGCCCATTCTTCACTAAATTTGCAAAAGATTCCCTTTTGCTCTCTGAAGAATCCCTCCACCACCTCTCCAAGTATGACATCTCCTCCCATATAAACTTGCGCCGTGGATCCTAAAACACCAAGGTTCAAGAGGAAAATTAAATGATAAACTCAAAGGTGTGTTAACTTCAACATTAATTAGATGGAAGATGATGAAACAGGTTTATGTAGCATTGCAATAAAAAAAGATTACTCCATTAGTGGTTCTAAATGTGTAACCAAAAAAAGGTAGTTCTTAATACAAAATCTTCCATTAAATTAAAAAATAAAGTGACTCGATGATTCAAAAGCAAGCAACTAGATCACTAAGTAGGTAATACTCTGGACCCAAAATTCTGGAGAAAGTAAACTAGCAAAGTAACATTTTCAAATTGTTAACGTGACAAGTTAATCCTTCAACAACTTCAAAAAAACAAGATTGGGAAAATGGGCTCAGGATGAATGTGACTTACGGCTAGTTTGGTAGATGGGAATGAATTTGTAAATAAAGTCCTAAGACAATTCCCATAATGATGCTGTTACCAGGCATCTCTTTTCTTCACAAGTTTTAATTGTCATCCATTAACACTAGAGGGGTGGTAATGGATGGTAATGATACGTTATGGAGAAAAACACGAGTTTGGGATGGGATTGCAATACCATAGTCATTAGGGTGATACTTTCTTAGCAATGCTGCTCTTAAATGTACATTTTCATCACTAACATTTTACTACCTAGAAACAGGCCATAAGCAAAAGGGGAAGCTCGATTAGTGGACACCACTCAATATTACCATGTTACTAGGAATCTTCATATTCCATCTAGCCACATGTTGGATCTCAAAACTCCAACTAGAATTTGTTACCCTGAGTAACATAACATATAACAAATACATAGTAACTAACGTTTAACTTCAAGGACAACTCCAAAAAAGACTCCGAAATTCAACAACATGCATCAACTCGAATTAATGGTAAAGCAGAGGAAAGCATTTCCATAGAAAATTAGAAACCCAACAATATTGAGCTCATAGAAACTTAAATCTTAATCGAGGCTCATTATACCCCTGTAATGTGATCCAATATAAATGATGTGCATCTTTTTGATGGAGTAAAACAATTAATCATATAGAGTACATCAACAAAAACAGACAAAACCCCAAAAAAATTTACCTCATAAACCTCAAATTCCCTACCCAAAATCCAATAATATGTGCATTGCTAATTATGGAAGCTAAAAAATGAACACAAAATCCAAGAAATTTCACATCAACATAGTTAAAAAAAGTGCCCTATTGAACCAGAACCTCGCAATAGTCAACCCGACCCATTAACCACAATCTCCAACTGAGCACTACAAGCTCAAATCACCAACTTTACTCAATGCAGCTCAAAATTCTAAAACTAACCCACTAAACAAAATACTGCCAACAAAATCAACATCATAAAAACCCCAAATTAAACCATAAACAATAGTAAAATTAATCCAATTATATACCATAAGATAAGAAACCTTACTTTAGATAGAGATTCAACAATGGTATCAAGAATATGACGAGATTGACGATCATAATACTCATCAACAGTAAACTTCCAACCAGGATCATTATGAGAATGAGGAACAACAATAATCTTCAATTTCTCATTATCCCACTCATTCCCTTTATAAGTAACCATCCAACCTTGCTTCCAAGGCCCACCATCAACATCCGAAAACTCAATCTTATCATACAGATCTTTGGTAGTAATATCAACAGCAGCAGCAGACGAAACGACGTCGTTGTGAGAAGCAGAGGGTAGTTTCCTGAGGTTCGGCTTTCTGGGTCTGGTAGAAGAATACCGCCGTGAGAATCGGGGGGAGGAGAGAGAAAATGGGCCGAAGCGGAAAAGCGCCGCCGTGAAGAGGAGGAGAGAGATTGATAATCCGATTGTGAAAAAGTGGGCCCAAATGAAGTCACGCAATTGGGTTCTTCGCCGTGATTTGCGGTGGAGCTTTGATTTTGTCGGGGTTGTGGTGGTAGCGGCGGTGGTTGTTGTCGGAAGAAATGAGCGGGCCCACCCAGCGCCGCCACTTCTGCTGCGGTTCCCGAGGTAGGAGGAGATGGGCATGGAGGAGAATTTTGGATGAGAGAGAAAAAGATCTGAAATTTGGAATATTTTCTCTCTTTTTTAATTTTGATTTTTTTAATTTTTTATTTTGATTTTGATTTTGATTTATGACTTTTCTTCTTCTTGGTGTTTGTGAGAGTGAAGGAGGAGTGTGGAATTTTGGTGGAGTGGTAATTGTAGATTCAAGATTTGTTGGTGTTGAGGTAGAAATGTTGTTTTTGGTCTTGTTTTTGTCAAAAGTGTTGTGGGAGTATCTTTGTGTGATTACTTGGATTTTTTGCTGTATCAAGTGAGAAATTTGTTGCTCCAAAAGTGTCATTGGTTGTGTGTGTTATTTGTATTGTTGCATTATTTTTGGGAAAAGGTATGATTTTGTGATATTGGGTATTATTATTATGTTAGTTTTTAGGTAAAATTGAGGTTTGAACTTGTCCTTTTATGTAATTAAAATGTTTTATTGAAAGTAATATGTGCATCTAATGTATACGCATGAACCATATTTAAATTTACTTATAAGACCCTGGAATGTCTGATTGATGGTTGTAATCATTTCTATTACCTTTTAACAATTAAAACAACGAAAACTCAAAATAGTTGTACATTTAAACCAAAATCGCGTTCGGTATTATGTAACATTAGTATGTCTGTAATGGTTACAAATTAACTTTTATGATCTTAATAGTCACCCAACAGGTCTCACACGGTCAATGTCTATTATAGCCTTTAAATTGAGACATTTTTTTTCAACATTTTTCGACAAAAAATAGAACAAATCGAGATGTTTTCCATGAACCCCACGAGACCTTAAGAGGTCGTTTGGGTGATTAAAACCATGTAACTTCAAAATCCGATACATTTTAATTACCCATTAACAGCATAATGCCATAATATAGTGTGCTAGTGTGTGATATATAGATCAATTGGGAGATCAAAACTTATAAAATTGGCGGGTAAACAAAATGCTGCTACTAAGAACTCGTCTCTTCATCCCTCAACTATCATCTTCTCTACTACCCACCATTTCCACCCCTTCAAAAAGCTTCAATTTTTCTCTCTCCTTTCCTCTTCAATCCTCATTTTCTCTCTCCTCCACCACCCCCATTTTCTATCGACATGCATTATCAAGCTCCGCAGCTCCTCCGCCGCCTTCGGACGCCACCAAATTCACCAGCACTGTGCTCTTTGTGCCGCCGGGTGTCGACCCAAATGACATAACCGAAGATATGATCTTACCCGGGTCCAACATTGTTATCGGACCTTATGCGGGTCATTCCCAGATTAAGGAAGTTGCGTTTGTGAAGAGTAGTAGTCGGGCTAAGGATTGCCCCATTGATGGGTTGCCTGAGTTTGCTGTTCTGGGTCGTTCTAATGTTGGGAAATCTTCGCTTATTAATACTCTTGTTAAGAAGAAAGAGGTTGCTTTGACTTCTAAGAAACCAGGTTTTGTTAATTTGTTTGTTTTCTCTCATGCCCACCACCTGTTTGTTAAAATTCCTCAATGAAAAATACAATTGAAGTGTTTATGAAATGTGATTAGTTTGATTTGATTTTAAAGAAATTGGGATTGAATTTTTGGGGAGATTCGCTGTTGGGTATTTGTTTGTTTTGTGTACTATATGTTTGATTTGGGTGTTGAATTATATGCAGGGAAGACTCAGCTTATCAATCATTTTCTGATCAACAAGAGTTGGTATATTGTTGATTTGCCTGGATATGGGTGAGTCTCTGTAATTTTGGTTATATGATATGGGCAATTTCCGTAATTCTAGTGTCTATTTCATGCTGGGAATATTGTATATTGTTGTGCATAATTGTTATTCGCGCTTAAACTTGATCATATGCTTAAATTATATTGAAGTACCAGAAAAGGATTGCATTTACGCCTTGAGGCATTGCTTTAAAAATTAATGATCATCCTGTAAAACATACTGCGGACTGATTATTTAGGCTACGTTGAAGCTGTCGCCTAAGTCAGCGGTTAGGGGGAAGCTATGGATAGCTCCGCTGTAGTTAATTTGGTGCCTTTAGGACCAACAGTGTTGTTTATTTTCCAAATTAGGAAGTAAATGTCTCCTTTCTTGTCCTTGTGGATGATACTGCCCTTAATTGAGTCATATTTAACCTTGGATAGCTATGGTGGATAGCAATTACGCATATGATGATCTTGAAATCTGCTTCAGTTGTGCAACATTTGTAAGATTTTTTATTTTTTTTATTTTTTATGCCTGATTTTACTGCTTTTCTTACATAGGTTTGCAAAAGCATCTGAATCTGCTCGAACAGATTGGTCTGCATTCACTAAAGGCTACTTCTTGAATAGAGATGCACTTGTTTCTGTGTTACTCCTAGTTGATGCAAGTGTTCCCCCACAGAAGATAGATGTGGATTGTGCTAATTGGCTTGGTCGCAACAATGTATCCAATTTTTGAACACTATATACTCGTTTGTTCATTTCACATTTTTGAATGTGATTTAAATGTGCTACTGATTTTCCATTTCTTGCTGCTTTGGTTTATGCTTTTCAGATACCTATCACCTTTGTGTTCACCAAGTGTGATAAAATGAAAGGCGGAAAAGGCGCACGGCCTGAGGATAACATCAGAAGTTTCCATGAGTTAATCAGACAGAACTACAAACAACACCCCCCATGGATCATGACTAGCAGTGTTACTGGTCTTGGCCGAGACCAACTTCTTCTCCACATGTCACAACTAAGAAACTATTGGGATAGTTAAGACAGTATATTAGAAGTTTTCTGGTGTTATAACTACTTACCCTATGTTATCTTTTGCCAAGTTTGTATAAATGTATTGAAGTCTTGAAATTTTATAAAGAAAAAAAATTGGGAAGATGTTTATGTTGCTTGAAATACTATTAATACTCTTTGTACATGACATACATCAATTATATATACCGAGCAAAGACTTCATCTGTAAGCTAAGTGGGATTAAAATTTGAAATAGGATCTGTCTGCATTGGCATCAATATCTTTATTTTACTTTCTTACTACTATATACAAGCATCTGTAACATAAACTTCAATTACTGTCTTAATACATACTCCGAAATACGATACAATCAAGATTTAAATTAAAAATACATTTGTATCCAAGCTTATTATTGATCTTAACAGGAAAACCCTGTATTATTCTTTCTCATTATATTCGATCATTCCGAATTGCCTTTCTCATCCCTATTGAAAAGATCATATCTTGACAAAATCAAGGGTTCCCTTGCCATCATGAGCCTTTTTATAGAAGTACAAAGTATAATCAGAATACAACACCTCCTTGTACTTGGGTTTCTCATCACTCTCTACCAAAACTTCCTTTAAAGGTCCGATCACCTTGCTAGGCTTTGGGTTCACAAACAGGGGAATTGAAATCCTGTCTTTACTTCCATTTGCTATTACACGGTGTTCTATGCTCTTGTACTTGCCATTGCTCATGATTTGCAGCGCGTCACCAATGTTAATCACCAGTGCCCCGGGGATAGGTGGCACATGAACCCAACTTTCTCCATCAGGTGCTCGAACATAGAGTCCTCCAATATCATCCTGCAGGAGCATGGTAAAGGTGGACACGTCTGAGTGCCTCCCTACTCCTACTGTAAGTTCAGGTTTCGGACACTTTGGGTAGAAGTTGAGATTAATCCTTTTGGAACCCGAAAGAAGTGACCATTGTTCCTCATTGATCTCATGAACGTTGAGTCCTTTCATCAAGACTTGCAGGAGGGACTTAATCACAACTTGGCACTTGTTCATATAATCCAGAAGTTGGTCCCTGAGCATCAATCGTATTACAGATAATTATATTGCTGAATTCAGCGTTCTCATGAAAAACAATACAATATAATTAGTGATTTCATAATTCTGCTTAACAGTTAATTACCTGCAAATAGTAGGCCATAAAGCAAGAGCCTCGTCATCAGAGACATAAAAGAGGCTAAGGTAATCCTTCCATTCTAAGGCATTCTCAACCTCGGGTATAAAGCTAGTACTTAACCTCACATGATTGCTAGGAGAATTCTCCTTGAAATAATTCCTCTTGACCTCTGGTGCCAAGGCAAAGAACGCGAGAGTTTCTCGTTTCACATCCTCAAGTACTTCAAGTGGCACCCCATGGTTGATGATCTGAAAGAATCCCCACTTCTGAGCAGCATCACATACTGATTCTAAAACTGCTTGGTCATCCCAATTAGACACATCAATTATGGGGATCGATGCCTCTTCCATGATCTTCATGTTGGACGGCCTCTCTGATTGAGGTTGTACGTACTCCTTTGGCAAATCCTTCAATTCCATCTCCGATAAACCTTTCACTCCATGACCCGAAATGATAAGAAAAGTGTTTAGATCTTCTGTTTCATGAGCCATTTTTCATAAGCTTGGTGCAAGTGCAAAATTGCTCTTTGTATTAGGCTTTTTTTTTTATAGTTTTTTTCTTAACGAGTTAAATGTTCTATTATGGGTGAAATTTATAATGTGTTGTTCAAATTCTTTGTCTTGCTGAAACAATCTTCCTCCAAGAAAGTAAGCAATCATTTAAGGTGTATAAATGATCTTACATTAGCATGGATTGTCCGAAATACCTTAATAAAATAAGCAACAGATCATTAGCATACAATTCTGATCAGAGTGATCACTTATTCAATTAATTCTCCCTTATTACGACGAAGTATATTTGATTATTTCAATTTAATTTATATATTCTTCGTGTAGTCATCAGCAAATAAATAACTTAATTAAATTAAGTATTTTGATCTCTACTTCAATTTAATCTTCCTTAATGTACTACGTAGTACGTTTATCCCATAATTGCGATGGTAAGAAATTAAGAATAACAACTATGAGTAACAATCAAAACACTTTTAATTCAAGTTCATAAAGACAGTAATTATTTTTAATTCAAAAGAATCTATAACAATCAAAAACACTTTGTTAACGTAGATAATTAGTACGGAGGCCAAAGCATTTAGTGACTATTGACATAAAAATCTAATATTCCTTAAAAAAAAATTAATTACAAAATAACGTTTCAATTAATTGTACCCAAATTTCGTATTAAATGTCAAATAACTACTTTGGTCCAATCCGTACTACAGAGTGACATCATATTATTTTAATATGATTATCTCTATATTTCTATTTTAAACTTCTTAAAATAATAGTTTGTGTTGTACTCGTTTCAAATATCAACTATAAGCTGAGTATGATGTAGATTAGTCTCATGTGTTGCACAAATTGCTATAATTTCATTCATTGTTTAAAAGAAAGTGTTGTAATTTGATTAATTTCATTCATTTCTTGTTGCTTTGGTTTATGCTTTTCAGATCGATACCTATTACCTATTACCTATTTCGGAGTACCTTTGTGTTCGATCACCAAGTGTGATAAGATGAAAGGCGGAAAAGGCGAACGGCCTGAGGATAACATCAGAAGTTTCCATGAGTTAATCAGACACAATCACAAACAACATCATATCCTCCATGGATCATGAGTAGCAGTGTCACCGGGCTAAGCCGAGATTTACTTCTTCTCCATGAACACTTTTTGTGTTACAACCACAACAATACCAACTTACACCATGTTATTCTTTGCAAGTTAGTATAAAATGCAATGAAGTTTGTATAAAATTCTCCTCCTCTGTTTTATCTCTTCATCTACAAGTATTGCATGAATGGTCAGCTCCCATCATGCACATAAACTATTTCAATGTTCTGACTAATCTAAGACACTACCAACTGTATAAAACTCAGTCAGATTCCTAATTTGGTCTAAGCCCAAAGTCAATTACATTTACTTCATAATTTTTAAAAGATTGATGAATTAAGATTTCCGTCAAAAAAAAATAATAAATTAAGATATCTTTTCCAAAGAAGTAAATTAAGATAAAGAATCCCTCATTCAATTCCTTTTATTAGAGTCTCATTTCTCTTTATTATGTGTGTAATAGATATTAGAAATGGGACTCTAATAAAAGAATGGAGTAAGTAAGAAGTATAATACAACTTTTAACTTGATAGTATATGCAATATGTCTCTTTATATTTGTACTAGTATTAAAAAAAACAGGTGAAGTTTGAATTGTACCAGTCTTTTAAAAAATTATCAGTCTTTTATTTTTTAAATCAATGATTCAATGATCATATATTTATCCATTTCATTAACTAAGGCCCCGTTTGGTTTAATGTAAAATATTTTCAATGGAAAATTAGTTTTCATGGAAAACATATTTTCAAGGAAAAACACAATTGCAAATTAGTTTTCCTTTGTTTGGTTGCATACAAGAAAAGTCCAAGAAAAATAAAAAAATAAGAGTGGAAATGTAAGGATAAATGAGAGAGAAGTAAAAAAAAAAGGTAAGGAGGAAAGATGAAAATGTGGCTTCCCTTGTTTTTGGAAGGAAAATGTTTTTCATCATTAAGGATGGAATTTTCCACCCTTGAAAAATTGTTTTCCACTCCTTAACAAACCAAACAAAGGAAAATGGGAAAAAATGAAAAATTCATTTTCCATGAAAACCTTTTACATCAAACCAAACAGGGCCTAAGTGTATAAAATAGGGAACTTAAAAAAAAAAAAAAAAAAAAAAAACCTTTTTTCTGAAAAAAGATGCAGGATAAAGCATAGATTTTCAAATCCTAGTAGAATTATAATTCTCATAGGATAGATTTTCAAATCCTAGTAGAACTATAATTTTTCCAAGGAAATTACACCAGTATAAATATACTTTTATCTTTTGAATTACAATATTCAAACTCTTCTTTTTTTTCTATTAGTTTAGCACTTCTAATTTTTTCAAAACCTTAGAGAAAATTGTTTATATTCTTGATCATCATGAAAAAAAGCAAAGAAACAGAGAGTAACAATATTGGAGAAAGTTCAAATTTTGAGGGAAATTATGATGAATCAATCATAAAGAAACAAAGGGTTCAACATTGGATAAACGATTACGCCTTCTATGATTTTATGGAAACGGAAAAACCCATAAAATCTACTCTTTTAGACCAAAATTGTGAGTTTAATGGTAAAAAATATGTCGATTTATCTTCATTCAAGGAAAATACAGGGGAAAAGGAAGTTGATCATCTTACCCTTTCTCTTTCTCTTTCTAAAAACACCACCAGTAGAATTACTTCCATTAGTTCGTCTCCTCAAAATAGTAGTACTCCCATTATATTCGAAGCCACACCCAAATGGAGCTATACGAAAGTCCTAGCAAAAAGTGACATTGATAATCAAGATCGACTTTTACTCAAAAAGAATTGGGTGAAAGACAAATTCGACACCAGAATTCTAGAGCAAAGCAAGAATGGTGGTTATCCAATTGATATCATTGATTGGGATGATAAATATGAATTTAAGTTGATATTAAAAAGATGGCCATCAAGTAACAGTTATGTGCTCATTGAAAATTACAAAAGCAAAGTTGTCCAGCGAAGAGGACTCAAAGCAGAAGATGAAATTAGACTTCATTGGGATGAAATCAACGAGAAGATGTACTTTTCTGTGTTGAAGAGAAAAATAAATGATAACCCTAATATATTAAAATTAGACCCTCCAAAGAATAAAGAGAGGATGGAGGAAGAAGAAGAGTAATTAAATTAGACGAAATATTTTCATATTGCACACCTGAAGCATTATTTGCAAGAAAGATACGAAAAGTATATATGGCGTAGTTGTCAGTTTGGTGGTGTTTTTTTTTTTTTTTTTTTTTTTTTGTCCCACCTGGTTCACCCTCTGAGCTAGGTTTAAGTCCCTGCCCAATTGTTGTTGCGGGGGATCAAACACACAATCCTCCCTACCAAGTGTAGTCCCAATCACCACTACACCAACATCCAATTGGTGTCAGTTTGTACTTAATTTTTCTGTTATAGTATTAATATTTCGATTTTATTTTATTTAAGCAAGCATATCATGAGCACACAAGAAAAACGAGTGATCAATTATGCATTTGTATAATAGGCTTGAGATAACATATGATCATTAAACATCATTTATCGTCACATCGTTATAAACTTGTTATGAGATGTTTGTTTTTATGTATGACTCCAAAAATTAAACACTCGTAATTATTTGATGCACATCAAATATATGAAATTCATTCCAAAAAGAGTGATCGGACATTGTAGATAACTAGATATGGTACTTCGTACCTTTTTATGTACAACAATATAAATACCTCGAAGATGCTGTCACCCATCTAAGGCTACTTTCTAAAACACAAAGATAAAAGAAAACTGAGTAGGGTTGAGAACTTGAGAAGGTAAAAGTTAAGCTCAGGTATGTAATCTTGCTCCAAGAATATAAAGTTATGATATCTCAACTTTCGTTCTTATTTTCCTTGGGTTTGTCACTGGGGTAGACTGGAACCTCCCCTCTGTATACCTTCCATGGACCACCATAAAACATGGGTTTCATCAGAGGTACTGTCTCTCCTGGATGGTCTTCCCAATATTTTTCCTGCTTGAAGTTAGCAATGAATGTTAAGAACCGAGAAAGCCTTGGGCCTAACTCCACCGCCTCATAGAACACAGGCCAAGGGGCTAGTCACTACTACTTATCAGATAAAAAGCTCAGCTGTAACTAGTAATGAGCATAACATAAAATTTTCAATAGCATAACAAAAGCTATGCAGCACAGTAGCACACAATATAATAATCAGGTTTCCCCAATGCCAAACCAAGAAACCAGTACACAACCCAAAAAGGTTTTCTGTTTTCATAGACAGTTCACACCAAATTCTAAAAAGGTCGCGGGGGCGGGGGGGTAACTCTTCAATGTCCACTAGTGAAGTTCTTATACAAGGGGCGGACAATAAAAACACTTGTATGATCAAACTTCACTCTTCAATAATAACTAAATGTCACCGGCTAAAAACACTCTATTTTCCCCTAAATACCAAATTATTCCAGAGAATATTTGCTAGCCTAGGTTGTTCACACTCAGCTGTACAAAGCATTTAGGAATCTATATGAAACATGGGCAATCTCTCAGAGTTAATTTACTTAGAATATAGAATAATAGATAAACTAGCAGGAAAGTCCTTCATAATAATCATAGATATATTAAGAGAAAAAATAAAATAAAAATCTGAGCATTTATTTGTGCACTGGAAAAGCTGTGTCTATAGCCACATTGAAAACTACATTCCTTATGCTCACAGTAAAATTGCACTGCTTTCACAAGGAGCCAGATAAAAAGTCAAATCAATACTGCATTATCGACAAAAGATCATATAACAGGAAGTGATAGGAGCCCAAATCTGTTCGTGTCAAGAAGTTCAAAAGGACTGAAGGATTCCTTGAAATTGTGGGAGTAGGTGGCCTAAATGGCAATTCTTGATCTAAGCGGGCCATAACTCACTTTTATCAAAAAAAAACTATTCACTTAAATTCTAAATCAGTCATAAGGAAGCAAGCATAGAATAAAACCAAGATAATCCCATGAACGATTTTGCCGCACATAATGGTTGCCTTAGATTCTTATACATGAAAATATCCAGAAAATGTAGGTTTTTTTTTTTCTTTTTTTTTTTTTTTTTTGTGGGGGGGGGGGGGGGGGAGGGATGTCCATAGAAGAAGAAGTCACTTACTTTATAGAGTTGCTCCGTGATTGCTGCTCCAATAACTCCAGTGTAGAAAGCAGCAACATAAAGAGTTACAAGAGGCGTAAATGATTTAGGCCGTCTGTAAGGTTCAATCATATCCCACAAAATTGTTCTTTCCCATTTGGTGTACACATAATCTGCATACTTCTTCCATAAATAGCTGGTCATATTGTCACTGAGCAAGAATGAGAGAAAATATAAGAATAATATCACAAATCTCTGCAAGTTGTTTTCCAACTAGTCTATAAGAGAGTGAGAAAGATAAGACAGGAATGGAAAGGAAGAGAAAGTGAGAGAGAAGGGGGATATCGGATATGAATTGGGGTAGAGGGAAGGGAAGGGATCCATATTCCTTCCCTTCAAATAAACCAAATATTATTTAATTTACATCTTTCATCTTTGGTAACAATCGAGTACCTTTAAGTGTATAGCGTGAGGAACTGAGGAATGAATTGTAAGTAAACCAAATCACTTGCCTAATCAAGCAGCTTAAATTAATTGAAATGAGCAGAATAATGATGGGCAGAAATTTGGCATAAATTGGTTTGGTAAGGATGTGCTTAGCCCATCCCATGCATACCCACAATCATACTTGTGGGCATTTTGTCGAACAGGAGGTGGGCATAAACCAGGGCATTGCAATTGCAATTACAATAAAGATCAACAAGTTTTGTAGCAAACCCAAAGAGGCAAATTTGAGTATGGAAAAATCTAATCCTTAATTTAGAACATCTTCATATGAATTACTAAACAGAAAACAGATAATTAAAACCCATTACAATTCAAGAAAATCCAACTACATATTCAAGAAGTTTACAGATAACAGATACACCCAGCTCAAGAAATCACAAATTCATTTAAAACTTGGAAATAAAAACTATCATATGAAATATCAAATTAACACGCATAAGATTGTATATGAAAGTGATGATTAGATGATCATCAACAAATGGCTTAAACATCTAACATAATAATCAAACTCACAAATCAAACCCTAAATTATCAAAACTAGTAACAATCACTTCATAATTGAAAGCATGGAGTAAGAAAATTGAACGAAAACAATGAAAAATAGAATCGAAGGAGAAGGAAAAAGACCTGGTAGCAAGCCTCGATAATAGCAACTGCGATTAAAGTAGTGAACAAAGTGCAGATAAAAAAATTAATTTGGGGGTTCGATAAACCCTAGTCTCCCAATTGACATTTGCAGCAATTTCTTAATAATGGACAAGGTAGGAAGAAAGGAAGAAGCCGGTAAGCGGAGTATTAACTAATTTTACTGTACTACGGTAAATGATTTTACAAGACTATTAATTGCACTGTAAATGCTTCTCATGGTGTAATAAATGATTAAAAAATATTTTTGTTCAATTTATGAGATTAATTGTTGAAATTGTCCAAAATAGTTTAATAGAATATGATTAAAGGTGGATTTGTAGCCCTGATTAGCCCTAATCATAACTTATCTAAACTTATATTTATAACTTATCTTATCTGAATTTATCTAAACTTATCTGAACACAAAAGTGAGCCTAAATTTTAAATTTCCTTTTTTTTTTTTTTTAAGATTAATGATATTAATTACTCTGTATAGATAAAGCTATATTGTACTCGTACAACAATATTTCGAAATAATTTGTGTGAGTTTTTCTTTTGAAAAAATTGAAAGAATTTGCATATTTGATACAAGATTTATAAAGTGCATCTAAGACCATTGCCCTCTCAGGTTCTCACAAACCTTAGCATCTCAGAAGAGCAATCAAGCACTCGTAAAGTCATAATGGCTTGAATGCTTAATCGATCACTATAAGGAGTTATGGTCAGGTAGTAAGTGCAAAATACAGAGAAGACACAAAAGGTTGGATGTGCTCTTTTCGAGTTGATCATGTAAAGTGTAATTCGTTTTATGCTCATGCAATGCAAAAACCGGTTAAATCAGGTTCATGTTGCTTCTTGGGGTACTACAATCTTGTTGCAAACATTTCTTAATGCATTCTACCCTTAGCAGAAATTAGATGCTTGGTTATATTGTTACTATCAACAAAATATACACTCATGAGTCCTGTTTGATTAGAATCTGGTGCTGCACAACCCTGATAACTGGTAATAAGCATTGCATACGCAGTACTGAGATTCTTCCTTGGTTCTACGAGTTGATGCAAACCAAGGATAGCAACACCACAACTCCATTTCTTGGACATCTCTGAACTTGCATAACTCATAATAAACGGAAACAAAAATGAAACTTGAAAGGATTATTCAATTAGCAGCCTAACAATAAGGTGTTATAGGCTTTTTATAATACAAGGTCTCCCATGAATGGGTTAAACCACTTTCATATCTCAAGGACTTCAAAAAAAATAGAGAGTAGACCAAGTAACACAATGCCATCTTTGTTCAAATATTATATAACATCATTAATTTCATTTTTAATGGAATAATAAGGAAGCAACTTCAGTAAAATTCACTATAACATAGGGCCAACATAGTGCTATTCCTTAGGGAGCTTCACTGTGGATCGCTGAAGAAACTGTTAAGACTTGGCATGATTTCAGGGCTCTTGGTGCGCACAAACTTCCTAAGGGGATGCTCTGCATATTTCTCTCCTTCCGCAAAATTCTCCAGGATTCCAGCAGCTCGGTTTTCCTTAGTCACCCTGGAAAATTTTAGCAACACATTGTAAATTATCAAGAACACGATATTTTTTCTGTGACGTAAAGAAACTAAAAGGGCAACTAGCACAAAAAAGAAATTAACTGGATAGTGAACATATCTTCACTTTGCAGAATAGTGCCAACCATGGATTAAAAAGGAGAGGAACTGAGGGAGAGTACAGGTTCTTATTAACCTAAATTGAATGAAGAATATGGAATCGAGAAGGCACAATTGGAGGATTCCACTATTATTTCCCCTTGAAAGACACAAATCTTTCCTAAGTCATGGGAAAAAGAAGAAACTCTTTTCATCCCTTCCCTCCCTTCCTTCTAGAATCACTAACCTCAGACCTCTTCATCCCTTCCCTCCCTTCTAAGATCACTGACCTCAGATCTCTTCATTCCTTCCCTTCCTTCCTTACTTCCTTCTAGGATCGCTAACCTCAGACTATGTAAAGCAACAAAGCTCACTTTTAAGTAGTTTATTTAAACATGTTCTTATGTAAAAACTTGAGCTATTCCCAGTAAATTCCATATTATGCAAAAGAAGCAATACAAACATAATGGAGTTCAACTTCCTTTTACTCGACTCCAAGTGAGTATCATAATATTTTATTAAGGGTTAGACTCTAATTCCTGGGAGCTGGTACTCCCCTCAATTTTATGCCACACGTCTATAGTTCTATGACTTCCATCAAATGCTGGAAGCAATATAAATGTGATTCTAATAGCTTCCTCGTGGATATTATACTCTAAGCAGAGAGAATCCACCATATTTTAATTGGTTACATTTGACCTATAATGGGGCTCTAATTCATCAAGTGCATCATTCACTTACAACTTAATTATCATTAGATTGTATCTAGTTTAAATTTTACTCCGTATTCGCTAACAAAAGTATAGTGATACATGAATCTTGATAAAAGAGTAATGTTAGTGTATGTTGGCGTGTGAAACTTAAAAATGATAAGTGCAAGGAAGTAATAGGAACATTGTCCCTAGCTTAAACTCAGTCAAAGATGTTGGTTGAGCCAAAATGAAGATAAGGATCAAATAATAAGTTATTGTTATTCATATAAACTACACAAATAAAAATTACTAGGGATTCCATCAGCTGCAGGTACTCTCCCACTTGGGGAAGGACTTCTAAACTGAATATGAGTTATCCCGGACATGTTAGCCAACATGCTTACATTCACAACGCCTCTTTCCACTCAGTTCGTGACTAAATCAATAACTAGGAACGCGAGCTAATAATGATCTCCTAATTAAGAAGTAACTAATCGCCCATACGCCCACATATTTAAGGCATGGGTCAAATGAAAAATCAACAACATAAACCACCTATGCAAGTTTAAGTCAATACCAAATAAGTTTATCGGAATCAACATGAGGTCTATAAACCGTAAACTTAGCAGTTAGCACGCAAACAATCACTTACAGAATGAAAAATTCAACCAGAAAATTAACATTGCTCTGTTCAAGAGCAGGGCAACCTAATCAACTGAAAACTTCCATGTCAAAACATTCACACATGCCTGAAACAAATCCAATTTCACACAATTTGGCCGAGCTTCTGTATAATCCCTTAATTTTGCACAATTGATCGACAAGTACGAGATAAACCACCATACTTTACCTTACAAAAATACACAACTCAAATTCCCTCTATTTTGCTTAATTACTCTAAATTAAAACCTAATTCAAAAATACCACAATAATACCTGAAATGGGATATATAATTTTAATTACACATTAAAACAACCTAATGAAATCAATTTAGATAAATTAAACCTAATACTACAATATTATGAATCCCGCTTTAAATTAATAATTCTATTTAAAATTTAAAAGGAAAATCAAGAAATTGAATTAGAGAGAAAGATATACCTGACTTCTGGGTTGCCGCAAATATTCCGGATGAGCTGAAACCCGCAAATTCCGACGGCTACACCAACCGATGCAAACAGAGGGTAAACCTACAAAACCCAGTTCACAATTTTTATAAAAAAATATTACAAATTATTATATTTTTCTAATCAAATCTATTATACTCCATTAGATCTGATTGAATTTCATCCCAAATCATACGATTTTCATGCTAATAATAGCAAATTTTTCACAGATCTAAAAATACTGAATCTACCATAAAAAAAATCGTAGAAAAATATAGAACAAATAGGAGAGAGAAAGAGAGAAGGAAGAGAGAGAACCTCGGGTCTGACCCATCGGAAGCCGCCACCCATTGTTGAATTTAGAGAGAGAAACAACAAAGGTTAGAGAGAGAAAATCGGAGGATGGGAGAGGTCAACTATTAACAAACAGGCAGGACGTTTTCTTTTTGGGGCGTCTATGGGGGAGACGGAGTATTTAAATAAAAAAAAATACGGAGTACGAAATACTCGTATACTACTATACGAGTATTTTTTAATAAATGAATAGTAAAGCTGAATTATAATTGGTTGATTGAATGTGGGCGCTTTCTTCGAATATTCGTTTGTGATTGGTCAGACCATGTTTAAATTATTTGTGAGTCTCTATGAAGACTGCAACGCAATCCTAGCCACACATTTTTTATTAAAATGTTGGTAAATTATAAAGTTTTTTTAAAAAAAAATAATATAAAATAAAATAAAATGTAAGATAAGATAAAGGACTCTTAGGGTATGTTCTCTTACGTTGAAATTCAGCTCATTTCAGTTCAGTTCAGTTCAGCTCTTAATTTCCTTCTCTTATAAAGTATTCATTTCAGTTCAGCTCAACTCAACTTAGTTCAGGTCAGTTCAGGTCAGCTCAATTCAGTTCAGTTCAGCTGAGTTTAGTCAATGAGAACAGGCTCTAATTCCCTCCGTTTTTAAATACTTGTTCACTTTTTTTTCGACTGTTTTTAAATACTAGCTCCATTTTCTTATTTAGAAAGCTTTTACAATATTTAATTAATTTCTCTCACCAAGTGGACCTAAAAATATTAATTTCATCATGCGGCAGGGTACCAAATCAGCAAATGACAAAGTAACCCCAAGACAAAGTAACCCCCAGACAAAGTAACCCCTGACCTAGTAACCCATAACTGGCCTATTAACCCCAAGTAACCCCCGACCTAGTAACCCCTAGTAACCCCCGACCTAGTAACCCCTAACTGACCTAGTAACCCCTAACCGACCCAGTATCCCCCAACTAACCTAGTAACCCCAAGTAACCCCTGACCGCCGACCTAGTAACCCCCGACCTAGTAACCCCTAACCTAGTAACCCCAAGTAACCCCTAACCGACCTAGTAACTCCAAGTAACCCCTGACCGCCGACCTAGTAACCCCTAACCTAGTAACCCCAAGTAACCCCTAACCGACCTAGTAACCCCATGTAACCCCTGACCGCCGACCTAGTAACCCCTAACCTAGTAACCCCAAGTAACCCCTAACCGACCTAGTAACCCCAAGTAACCCCTGACCGCCGACCTAGTAACCCCTAACCGACCTAGTAACCCCTGACCGCCGACCTAGTAACCCCTAACCTAGTAACCCCAAGTAACCCCTAACCGACCTAGTAACCCCAAGTAACCCCTGACCGCCGACCTAGTAACCCCTAACCGACCTAGTAACCCCAAGTAACCCCTGACCGCCGACCTAGTAACCCCTAACCTAGTAACCCCAAGTAACCCCTAACCGACCTAGTAACCCCATGTAACCCCTGACCGCCGACCTAGTAACCCCAAGTAACCCCTAACCGACCTAGTAACCCCAAGTAACCCCTGACCGCCGACCTAGTAACCCCTAACCGACCTAGTAACCCCAAGTAACCCCTGACCGCCGACCTAGTAACCCCTAACCTAGTAACCCCAAGTAACCCCTAACCGACCTAGTAACCCCAAGTAACCCCTGCCGCCGACCTAGTAACCCCTAACCTAGTAACCCCAAGTAACCCCTAACCGACCTAGTAACCCCAAGTAACCCCTGACCGCCGACCTAGTAACCCCTAACTGGATCTAGTAACCCCTTACCCACCACCAACAAAAAACTACCAACAACAACAACCACTGCACCAACAAACCACTACCAACCTAAACCCCAACGAAACTAGATCTAGAACCCAAAACCACGAAACCACCATCACCCATCCACAAAAACACCACTACCCACCAACGAAACCACCACTATACACGAAAACAATTTGTTTTTCGTTCTTCAATTAAACAAAAAAATAAGTAATAAAATTTAACAACTTACAAGTTATATAATCAAAATCTTCAGCAAATAAGCTTGAATTCAACATAAAATTCGTAGAGCATAATTTTCCAAAAGTAAACCATTAATGAATTGAAGATTGAAAAAATTTGGGCTAAGAAGATGACACCATTAATGAAATTTAAAGAAAAAAGAGGAGATAGGAATAAAATTGGGGAAAAAAGGAAAATGTTGTAGAAGATGGAAGAAGGACAGAGGAGATAGAAATAAAATTGGGGGAAAAAGAAAAATGTTATACAAGATGGAAGAAGAAAAGAGGAGAGAGAAGAAAAATTATATATATATATATATATATATATATATATATATATATATATATATATATATATATATATATGGCTGGTCATACCGTACGACCAGCCGTATATGAAACTTTTACTAATTTCGTATTCTTTCTCATTCATTCTCTCCATTACTTTTGGTTTTTTTTACCAATTTTTATTCTTCCACTAACCCCACTATCTCCATATTTTATTACTTTCTTCAATTTCTCTTAAAACTCCGCGCATGGAGAAATGGAGCAAATATTTAAAAACGTTAAGAGTATAAATTAAGTAAACCCAACTCCGCAGGTCAATGCTTAAAAGTAGGGGGGGTAAAGAAATCTCCTCCTCCCAAGCAAATGTAGTTGATGAAGTTCGAATTTATGACCTCAAAAGCGTATTCTATTCATCTGATTTTCACATACTTGAATGTATCATATATTATCTGAAGTTCAAAAAACTTATCAAACATTTTTTAAATTCAGGGCTTGTTCACATTTACTTAATTTCAGTTCAGCTCAGCTCCAATCAATTCAATTCAGCCCCAATCAGTTCAATTCAGTTCAACTCCTAATTTCCCTTTCTCATAAAATATATATTTCAGTTCAGTTAAGTTCAGTTCAACTCCAATTAGTTCAGTTCAATTCAATTCAGCTCCAATCAGTTCAGTTCAGTTTAGCTTAGTTCAGGAAATGTGAACAGGTCCTAAATACCAAATAATATGTATTGTGTAATACTCCCTCCGTTTTTAAATACTTGCTCCACTTTCCTTTTCCGACCATTTTTAAATACTTGCTCCATTTCCTTTTTTGAAAAGCTTTTATAATATTTAATTCATTTCTCACACTTAGTAGACCCAACATAATACTCACTCTTCTCCTATTCTTCCACTATTTTTGCTTTTTACAATTTTTTATTTTTTCAAGTATTTAAAAACGGAGGGAGTACTTGTATTAATTTCCATATTTTATTACTTGTTTCAGTTTCTCCTAAAACTCCGCACATAGAGAAATTGAGCAAGTATTTAAAAACGGAGGGAGTACTTTCTAATGTTAATACTAAATACAAGTTTTCATTAAAAAATAAGGAAGAAGAAGGATTTTATATTACTTATCAAATCTAATTTTTTTTTGTTTTTGAATTGCTTGAAATGATTGACAACTTGACAAGTAGTCAATTAAAAAATGTCATGGAAAATGCATGATTTCGTGGTTTGATTTGAGTAATGTGTATGTCGCCAAGTTTATAAAAATTAATTTCGTCGCATTAAGGGGAAAAAACATTAGATTGTTGGAATGTGACACTTATGTTAGTTAAGTCGATGGAAGTAAAGGATTTGATTTGGTGATGGTGGTTGGGAAGTATGGTCTATAGTTTTACGTCATATGTGAATGAAGAGGGATGAAGGATGATAATATGAGGGAGACTTTATAAAGCAAGAGTGAAGAATTAAAGAGACAAATTGATTGATTAACTCCATGATAGTTGGTGGTAGTGGCAATATGTGGTAGTTGGTTCCTTGGATCACTAATGACTAATAGGGGTGTTCATAAATCGGTGCGGACCGAAAAATGGACTGGACTGAACCCGGATCGGACCGAACCGAATTAATCGTTCCGGACTTCGGATCTTGAATTTCATTTTTTCGGTCTTCGGTTCGATCCGGTCCAAAACCGGTTTTCATAGTGTTTTTATTATCCTTAAATAATGTGTAAAATCTTAAATAATGGTTAAAATTATCCTTAATAAGCTTAGAAAACTTTAAATTTATAAGTTTTTTTGCACTAAACATACAAAAAAAAGACGTAAAAATGGCGTTACAATATAGTTTTTCCAATACTTTTTTTTGTGCATTCCTAAACTTTATAAAAAATTTAGTATTCTTTTTAAAAAAATTCTTAAATTGGTCCAAAGCGGTCTGGTCCGGGTTTTGGACCGATTCTTTCGGTCTGGTCCGGGTTCGGTCCTAACTTAATCGGTCCGGTTTTCGATTCTTAAAATTCTAATTTTCGGTATTCGGTTCGGTCCGGTCTTGGACAGATGAACAACCCTAATGACTAATGATGTATAGTAGATTTGAAGTAGCGCATGTTTTGTTAATTTGTTGTACGTATGCGTTTTGTGGCTTTGTAAAACCATATTTTGTATAAGCTCAACATATACACACCACCTAAAATCTGCTATTGAAATCATGATGTTATTTATATGGACTCCTCGAATTCGAAAGTATAAGAAGGGATAGGGTCATAGGGGCTTGCCCCTCTTCTTCATCTTCTTTTTCTTTAAAATAATTAAAAAAAATAAAGTATAAGAAGGGGTCATAGTCACCTAATAAATGGTGTTATTTGAAATCATGATTATTATTTATATGGACTCCTCAAATCCGAAAATAAAAAAAGGATTAGGAAAATGTTATACATAGCCCTTGGGGCTACATAAGCATTAAATTTATATTTGAAAATCATAAAAATTTAAGAAATCATAAAAATATAAACACTAATTACACTGATTTACTCGTGTTTTGTCATAAATTCCTAATTTTATACAATTTTCAAGGGTATATTTAATACTTATATATTGCCCTTAGGCTACATATATCATTACCCTTTAACCATAAAAGATACTACACTTAGGGCCTATTCATTTCAGGTTAATTTCAGCTCAGCTCAGTTTAGCTCCAATTAGTTCACTTTAGCTTTTAATTTCCCTTTTTCATGAAATATTTATTTCAGCTCTATTTAGTTCAGTTTAGCTCCAATCATTTCAGTTCAGTTCGGTTCAACTTTAATCAGTTCATTTCAGCTCAATTCAGTAAATATGAATAGACCCTTGGTCTCTTAAGCTTAATTCATTTCAGTTCCAATCAGTTCAGTTCCTAATATTCAGTTGAGTTCAGTTCAACTCCAATCAGTTCAGTTTAGTAAATTAAAACAAACCCTTAAAATTATAAATTGGGAATTTTTGTATCGGTAGAACATCTTGCTCATCTCTCGCCTCTCTTCTCATTAGCAAGATTCATAACAATATAATGAAAAAAAATATACGAGTTCAAGCAATTAAACCCTATTTAGATTTAGAAGAACAAAATATGTATTCGGGATAATATGCGCATCATGACCTGAGACCTTGGACTCTCTCAAGACTCTCAGATTGAAGAGGTATGATTAGGGGTGAAACAAATTCGGGTTAAAACCGAACCGAACCGAAAACCGAACCGAATAAGAAATATGGTTCGGTTTTTTTTTTGAAGTGGTTCGGTTCGGTTTTTTAAAAAAAAATATTTCGGTTTTCGGTTTGGTTTCGGTTTGAGGAAATGGAAAACCGAAAAAAAACCGAAAACCGAAATTTAGGCCCAGTATATAAGGAAAAAAAAAAAAACCCTAACCCTCATCCTCATTCTCTGATTCTCTCTCCTGACTTCCTCAGTTCGCCTCTTCCTCCCTCATTGCGAATTTCTCAGTCTCTCACCCTCACCTTCTCAGTTTCTCAATCATCTCTTTTGTGTTTCTCAGAATTCTCACTCTCCAATTCTCCATCGTTCACCGGCACAGCGCACTCGTTCAGGCGTTCACTGTGACACCGTCCACCGTCCAAAGGTATGCTTTTAAGTTTTGATTATGCTTGATGTTCATATTTTTTTAGGGTTTTAATTATGATTAGTGTTAAATGTTAATTACGAAAATCTGCAAATTACATGTACAAATTTGTTAAACATTCTGATTAGGGTTTTAATCTATGCTTGATGTTCATATTGCGATGTTGTTTCTGAATTTTCTATTCTGTACAAATTAGTAAAACATTCTGAATTTTCTGGTATTTTGATGCTTCGGGGTTTTGGTCTATTCAAGGGTATTTTGGGTTTTGGTCTAGTAAAACATTCTGATTAGGGTTTTGGTCTAGTAAAACATTCTGAATTTTCTGGTATTTTGAAGCTCTATTCGATTGGACTCTGTTGAAGATTGTTTCAGATTATTAGTTAGTTATTAATTCAAGGGTTCGCATGATTAATAGCATTATCATTGTCTTGATAAGTGTTTATTAGATTGTTGATCTTTGTTATTATTGTTAATTTTGATTTTACTTGTTTTGGGTACAGTTAGTCAGTTAGTGCTTAATTTGATTGTTTTTGGGTGGTGGGGTGGAATCTTAGGGGGCTAATTATTATTGCTAAATTGTTATTGTCTTTGGTTTAGTTAGCCAGTTACTACTGATTTTGTTTATTAGGGGTATAATTATTATTCCCTTTAAAAGATCCAATATTCTTAATTTATGAGTTTGCATGTATTCTTACAGATTGTTATTCAACCACGAATTATTGAATGACAACCAACGTGGGTGGTGTTCCTGACCAGCCTCAATCCGAACATGAGACTGACCAAGTCTCTCAAAATCTGAAAAAAGAACAGGGAGCAAAAAGGAAGAGGATGAAAGAACGCTCTGAAGTTTGGGAGCACTTTGATAAAGAAGACTTACCTTCTGGAATGCAGGCAATTTGCAAGTATTGTGGGATGAGCTACAAGTGTGGGGCAAAGAAAAACGGCACTAGTGTGTTATGGGCTCATATTTCGCGATGTCGTAAGTATCCCTTTAACACCCCTAAAGATTCAAAACAAAGTTTGCTTTCATTTAAAAGTGCTAAAGAACCAAGTGGTGGTACTAGTGGGTTGACATACCACAAATTTGATGCTGGTAGTATTAGAAAAGCTTTGTCATTTATGGTGATTGTTGATGAACTTCCATTTAAGTTTGTTGAAGGTATAGGTTTTAGACATTTTTGTGGTGTAATAGAGCCTAGATTTAATGTTCCTTCTCGAATTACAGTAGCCAAAGATTGTTTTGAAACATATTTAACTGAAAAACGAAAGCTGAAAAATGTGTTAAAAAGGTGTAATTCAAGAGTTTCTTTAACCACTGATACATGGACCTCTATACAACAAATCAATTACATGTGCTTGACTGTCCACTTTATTGATAATAATTGGAAATTACACAAAAGAATTCTGAATTTTTGTCCTATTTCTAGTCATAAGGGTGATGATATTGGCAAAGAAATTGAAAAGTGTTTGCTTGATTGGGGGCTTGAAAATGTCATGTGCATAACAGTTGATAATGCTAGCTCAAATGATACTGCAATTGGGTATATGAGAAGGAAAATAAATGGGTGGAAAACTGGGGTTCTTAAGGGTCGTTTCCTTCACATGCGTTGTGTTGCACACATTGTCAATTTGGTTGTTTCTGATGGGTTGAAAACTGTTAATGAGTCGGTTCAACGTGTTAGGCATGCTGTTAGGTTTATCAAACAATCTCCTGCTAGGTTGCAAAGGTTTAAAAAATGTGTCTTAGATGAAAAAATCAACACAAAAAAGGGATTGTGCCTTGATGTGCCTACTAGGTGGAACTCCACCTATTTGATGTTGAATGCTGCTATTGAGCTTCAAGATGCTTTTGAGAGGTATTCTGGGGAAGACCCTCACTATGTAGTTGATTTGAATGAGAGGGATGGTAAGGGTAGCCCAGATTCTGATGATTGGAATAATGTAAGAAGACTTTCTGAATTTCTACAAGCCTTTTATGATCTGACCTTGCATGTCTCTGGCTCTTTATATGTCAGTTTGAATTTGTTTTTTCATGAATTGGTGAGTGTTGCTGTACTTATGAAAGATTTGGTTTCAAGTGATGATGTGGATATGTGTCTTATGGCTTGTAGAATGAAAGAAAAATATGAAAAGTATTGGGGTGATCCAGAAAAAATAAACCTCCTGATTTTTATTGCCGTTGTCCTTGATCCTCGTTATAAGCTTGATTATGTTGAGTGGATGATAACTGAAATTTATGACCCTATTGTTGCATCAAAGTTAGTTGATAATGTGAAGGTAGCTTTGAATGCTTTGTATGAGGAGTATCGTGTTTCTTCTAGTAATGATGTGAATAGGGAGGAAGTGTCTTCAAGTAAGGATGGCAAAACTCCATTGAGTCCCAAACATAAAAAGATTGAAGTCTTAAAGAGTAAGTATAAGAAACACAAGTGTGAGAGAGATGGAGATGCAAAAATAGAGTTAGACAAATATTTGGAGGAGGATACAGCGGAGGATATTGATGAATTTGACATTTTGAGCTGGTGGAAGTTCAATTGTTCAAGGTTTCCTACTGTGGGGAGAATTGCCCGTGATGTTCTTGCTGTCCCTGTTTCGACAGTAGCTTCTGAGAGTGCATTCAGCACTGGGGGCAGGGTTCTAGATCAGTTTAGGAGCTCATTAACTCCTCGAGTTGTAGAAGGTCTTGTTTGTGCTCAAAATTGGTTACGTGCTTCACCATTTCCAAGTATTGAAGAATGTTTAGAGGAAGTTGAGCTTCTTGAAGAGGGTAATATATAAGAACATCTAATCATAAGTTACTTATTTTCATTATGTGTATATATTTTTAACTTGGTTATTTTTGTTATGAATTATGATAGACTTGAAGAATATGGCAGTTGGTGATGCTGATATTGATGAAGTGCTTGAAATAATAGACTGATGTGGCTCTTTGCTCATTGCTGACTTGCTGTTGCCACTTGCCAGACTTGCTACTGCCTTGCTCTATCACTGCTTTTGCTGCTGACCTGCTGTTATGATGCTGCTGCTGCCCTGCTGCTTGTTGCTACTTGGTCTATGCTGCTTGTTGCTACTTTTTTTACTGCCTTTTAGAACTTGGTCTATGCTGCTTGTTGCTACTGCTGTTAAACAATTGTTAAAGTTGTAATGTTGAACAATTTTTTTTTTTTTTGGATGAAGTGTTGAACTTTTAAAACTTTGAATTATAACTTTGAAGTTTTAGAACTTGTTAATGTTGTTTAAATCTCATTAAGCATTTATGCTACTACATATGTTGATGAATATAATATTTATATGATTTAAGCCCACAAAAATTGCAGATTAAAGCCCAAATAAACAAGGCCCAAAAAAATTCGGTTTGGTTCGGTTTTTTCTTTTGAAACCGAAATTTATATGGTTTGGTTTGGTTTGGTTTCAAAAGTAAAGTGGTGCGGTTTGGTTTCCAAAAACCAAAAACCGAATTAGGGTGGTTCGGTTTCGGTTTGGCCTATAAACCAAACCGAAAACCGAACTTTCACCCCTAGGTATGATGTTAAGTTTCACAAAACTACAAGTGTTACAACTTACAAGTGCTCAGTCTTGTAATCTGCCGACTTCAAGTCGGAGAACTGTTGGCCATTTGCTCACCTGAAATTCACTCAACAACAAACAAAATATACGACTATTTATAATCCACACTAATTATAAATAATTAATTAAATCACATTATTCTAACAAAAACCAAAAGCCAAAAAATATCGCCGATAATCGCCCCGACCAAAGCGCAGAGAGCCACACGAAATCACCCCTCGAGAATTCTACATTTCTCATAAGAGGAGAGAGAAACAACAAACGAGGAGAGAGAAAGCTTCAAAAGCTTCATCAATGGCGTCAACAACTGGCATAGCCTTATTTCTCTCTCTCAAACCCTTTCAACTCTCTCACCAACACCAACACCAACACCAACACCAAAACCATCTCCCTTTTCTTTCTTCTTCATCTTCTCGCCATTTTCTCTCTCCAACAACCACTCTTTCTTATCGCCGGAATCGCATCATCGGATGTCTTATCTCCGGCGTCGGCGGCGGAGGACTTTCCGATACGAGGAAATCGGAATTTTCTAGAGAGTTCGCTGTTATTGCCACCATGTTGAAGCGCATCGAACCTTTGGATACTTCCGATATTTCCAAAGGTGTTTCTGAATCTGCTAAGGATTCTATGAAACAGACGATTTCTACTATGCTTGGACTTTTGCCTTCCGATCAGTTTTCTGTTTCTGTTAGGGTTTCGAAGGTTCCTCTTCATCATCTTCTCGCTTCTTCCATCATAACTGGGTACTGTATTGTCTCTTGCTCAATTGTTTGATCAGTATTTTTTTTTGGATTTTTATAATGTGGTTTGTTAATTTTGCGGTGAATTTTGGATGAAATGTGTTTTTGATTGTTGAATCGTTGATTGAATGTTTTGATTTGGCGAATTATTAGAGTTCTGCAATGAATTTTGGGTTAATTGTGTTTTTTGGTTGTAGAATTGGGATTTTCGGATTGTCAAATGTTGAAAGGGAGGGCAATTTTAAAGAGAACTTTTCAAAGGTGAATTTGAGCTATTTTGATTGTTAGATTATGGAAATTAATACATTTTGGATTGTTTGAGCTTTGAATTGAAAGATTTCAGTTGGAAGGCTTATTTCAAATAGAATTTTCAGTGACTTCTGTATGTGATGATGATGAAAATAGTACATTTTTATAGAGAATGCTAAAGGTCTTAACCCACCTTAACCCCCCTACCAACACCCACCCCGAAACAACCCCTTAAGATGAATTTGTAGACAGTCGGTTTTGATAAGGAATGTAAGTTTGTAAACGAGTTATCTGCGAACTCTGCTTGCTATAGGCGGATTAGTAATTGTGGATTGAATGTTTGTAGGTTTTGTCTGGTCCCTTTGTTATTTAGATAGTGATGAAGATTCAAATTCTTATATTGCTTGGTTTCAAATTCTAAGATATTGGAAGAAAGGCAATTTCATAGATATATCTTTTTAGTAAATTATATTCGAGGTAGCTAAATGTTTAAACTCTTGTTATTTTCAATCGTGATAGGTATACGCTGTGGAATGCAGAATATCGCATATCATTGATGAGAAATTTTGAGCTGTCTATGGATAGTTCGGAATCACGTAAATTTGAGGAGGGGAGTGAGGCGTATGGATTGGACCGTGAGGAACGAGAGAGTGAAGGTGCAAATGCATGTAATGATTTAGGCATCAATAATTTTGAGCAGCTTACTTCTTCTAGCTTAAAGGATTTATCTCCTGAAGCTTTGAGATACATCCAACAGTTGGAAACAGAGTTAAGCTCTGCACAAAAGGTGAGAATCTGTCCACTTGGAGTTGTTTAGTGGTATTATTGTTGTTTATTCCTGTGTCGTGTTTAAGTAATACGGAATTCCTGGGATTGAACTTGCCTGTTTTGTTAACTTCTCTTCAATTTCCTAAGCTTGTCCCAAAGCTTGAGACTGTCTTTTATGAGTGTGGATTCTAAGGGCAACCTTGTGACATTGATAATACTTTCTTCATGGGTTCTTGAATTTATCCAAAAATTTGGAGCTTCTTCCCCCTGGCTATCATTTCTCTGATGGATGGGCCTAGTATTTAATTCACAGTGGAAAATTTTGGGCAACTCATAAAATCATGGGAGTAGGTGAACTGAAGTATACTGCGTTTATGCTAAGCTTCTGGACATTAACTAGCACCATTTAGAAGACTACAAAAATATGTTTTTTTTTTTTTTTTTTTTTTTTTTTTTTCTGGATTACTGTGAGAACTACCCTACATTTTTGTTCTACAGCCCAACTCCATGTTGTCTTGAGCTCATTGTTGATATGCTGTCCTGCTGTTGAGGCCACATTTATGGATACAAGGTTTTATTGCAGAAATGTATGTGAATTTTGACGTGTATGTTGTGAGATACCACTCATACCAGTGTTTATTCTAAACTTGTAACTTCTCTCATTTCAGGAACTAGACGCACAGAGGCAAGATTCTGTGCAAATGGAATCAAGTAAGGGTAACAATAATAATCTGCTGGAGTACCTCAGGTCCTTGGAGTCGTCTATGGTGAGTGTTAAAAGATTTTGATCTTAATGTTAGTGTCTTTATTGTCATCTTAAATGTTCATGTGCAAGTGTTGACATCATATTTGGCATATACAGGTGTCTGAACTCTCACAGCCTAATTCAGTAGAGGTAAAGGAAGTAATCCATGAATTAGTTCAAAATACTATACATAGATTTTTCAAAGATAGCCCCATATCCAAATCCATTGAGACTCCGACCATAGCAAGCATAAAGAACCACCAAGTTGGTGACAGTGAAGGTTTTGAAATGATCACCACTTCCAGGGATTCGCTTGCAAAACTTTTGTTCTGGTGAGTAATCTCTTACTTTGTTGCTTGCATTTAGTCAAGACTCTAGAGACATCTGCAATACTGCATGACATCAAGCTATGAAGTTTCTAGCATTATTTTCCCTTACGCTTCATCTATTTCACTGATTGCACTACCAAATTTAGGTAGCTGTAGTTTATCACATACGTAATAGAGTAATAGTCATCTTTTGGTAGATTGTGTTGTGTTAACAATTATTTGGTTTGATTCTAAGTGGCGTCTTCATTGCTGGCAGGTGTATGCTGTTAGGACATCACTTGCGAGGCTTGGAAAACAGATTACACCTTAGCTGCGTTGTTGGATTATTGTAAAGAGTACAGAAATAGCCCTGTATATTCATCCCTTTTTTCTCATCTCAGAAGATGCTTGTTGTATTTTTGCTGGAAAAACTGCAATACAACCTGACTTTTATTATTATTCGGATATTCAATTAATCTAAATGAGCTTACAAAATATCCTCTCCATTAACAATCACCCATATCCGTAATCCGTCCAATGTCTATGAACCAGTAGTTTTGTATATGTGAGGTTGATCTCATCCTTATCAAACAAAAACTTTGTTTTTCCTGAAATGCCAATACTGTCGCCTTCATTTGCCTTAAAATGCAATCCCCCGGACTACATGCCCACAGTAGGATTGAATGATTAAAAAGACAGAATAGGTCATAGATCGTAAATTTGTAAAATTTTGAAAAACTAAACGAAACATCACTTGTCAAGGGTAAACTCACATTTATTTAGGGTGTTCGTAAAAAGTTCACATTTTCAACATACCGATTGTACAACAGCTAATGAACATACGGAATAGTACGATAACTAATATGTACGGATATAAGTAGCTTTTCTAAGGTCTGTCTAGGGGGTCAATAAGGCACGGCAACAATGTATGGACAAAGATGGTAATCTTGTTAACTAGTCTCTGGTGGTGTTAAAATCCATACATCAGCATATGGAAACATCACCAAGAAATGAATGCTTCACAGGTCTAACATAGTCCCTCAGCTAATTCATCTCACTGATATAGGTATCTTAAGAAAAACACAGTCAAGTCGAACTTTGTAAAGTATCAGGAAACACGAAATAAACTCCTCATATACACCGCATGATCTACAGAACAAGTCTCTTAAAACCATGTGTACTTGCTGCAAGGATCATTCGGCTGAACTTCTAAATCTGCATCAGCATTTACAGAATCATACTGCTTTCTGCAGCCAGGACAACGGCCATCTACCTCGAGTATCTTATTGTGACAGAACAGGCAAAGCTGAAAACCACAGGGGCAAGGGAAGAAGCTCAAGTCTGTAACATCAAAATCCTCACAACAAATCGGACAAGCAGAAGGTCCACTCGAAAAGCAGTGTTCTGAAGGCAGCTGATTTTGATTATACTGCTGCAGTTTTGGAAGACCAGGCAAACTTCTAGGACGATCAACATCATACAGGCTCCAAGCGCGACTGTTTCCCTGATACCGACAATTTACACCAGCAGATTCTGTTTCTGAAGCACGGTGTTCCATATCTGAAGTCTGCCTGTTTTCTGCTGTCAAAGCATCTGCCACAGCTTCCCAATCATCTAAACACCTCTCATCTATGTCACAGCAACTACTAGAGCAACTGGCACTACTGCTATTGTGATAAAATCTTCTGATACTCGAACCATTCATCCGGGACACAGCTTCATCAGTACATGATATCGGTATCTCATCCTCGTGTTTTCTTGTATTTACAGCCAGACTGTCCTGCTCCTGTGCTGTGTCCCCCTTGCAGCCATTTGGAATGGATTGAGAAAGTTCGAATTCTCCAATGACATTGTTGTCCACTGAACAAATTATAAGCCAACCGAAAAAAATACATCAAATAAGCAAACAAGATCATCAAAACTTAAACTACCACATTAATTAAAAACCAAGAACATCAAATTAGCAAAACCTTTGTAACCTGCCTAAAACCAGACAAATTCTATCAATCAAAACCAAAATCAAAACCCCACAAATTAATTGTTAACATTATTTTTGTTTCAGATATTTGTTTAAGGAATCCAAACCCAACATTTCGAAAAGACAATTCACATACATTAAAGAAAACCTAAAGAATAAAAATTTAAAAAATAATCAATCATGTTTTCAAAATTTCTTAACGTAACCAAGATCAATTATGATCATCAAACCGTCTGATACAAGAATTTACGCGTAAACGTACCTTGGGATAATCTTTGATCTCTTGTAACATCGACCTTGTTCTGTTTTGATTTCCCATGTTTGCTCCCCTGTTTTTTTTTTCCACAAAAAACAATTATCAATTCTTTAAACACAAAAATGATCAAAAACAAAAATAAAAATGAAATTCAATTTTTTCAACAAAAAAATAAATAAAAAACAAACATACCCTTTTCTTCTTGGAAGAATTCCTGTTACGCCCGCAAACACGAGCATCAGAAATTGTATCAGACCTCATAATTCTGAAATTTCTGAAAACAAAAGGTTTTTATTATTATTTTAAAAAACAAAACCCAGAATTTATTGAAGAAGAAGAATATACTACTATTTGATTATTGGTAACGGTGAAATAGATTGAAAAGAAAAGAAAAGAAAAGAAAATTAAGAGAGAGAAAGGAGGAGATGATGGCTTAGATATAGCGCAGCACGAATGTTATGAGGCCACAAAATTAGGGAGGGAAAAGAGAAGAATGAAGGACCCCTTTTTATAAAAATAATCAATGTCAATTAAATTCTAATCCATATTAACAATTGACATCTGTTACATCACATATTCACATGTAAATGTGTTTATATATACTTATAAAGTTATTTTCCAACTTTTTCTCTTGTATCTTGTATGTATTGTAAAAATAGTACTCCATGTTTAGATTTTTTTTTTGGAAACTGGTAACACAACATTTTATATTTGTTTGGATACACATAATATTGTCACGAAGTTTTTTTTTTTTTTTTTTTTTTTAATTATTATTATTCCTTTTTATTATTGATAGAAATGTAAATTTAGTTATAGTTTGAATTATGGTCTGTTCTCTTTCATTGAAATTCTGTTCAGTTCAGCTCAGCTCAGTTCAACTCCTAATTTTCTTCTCTTATAAAATACTCATTTCATTTCAGTTCAGTTCAGCTCAATTCAATTCAGTTTAGTTCAGTTTAGTACAGTTCAGCTGAGTTCAGTCAATGAAAACAGGCCCTTAATGTACACATATTGACAACATACTTTGATATTTTAAAGTAACTAAAAGACTTTAGTACTTTGATAATATTATAAGGGAAGTCAACGGTAATGATAAATGAGCAGAAAGTACTTTAAGTGGGATGTATAATTATTCCACAAAGGCACAAATGGCAAAAAAAAAAAAATTATTCATAGGAATTTTACATTTTTATTTTTTAATTTTTACAATCCATCCATATGAATAAAATTGATCCTAAGACTTTAACCAATCAAATAAGATAGGTGACATACATGTAATAAATACGGAGTATAACTTAAGGCCTGTTCTCTTAACTTAATTCAGTTCAGTTCAATTCAGCTTCAATCAGTTCAGTTTAGCTTAGAAAAATAGAACAAACACTTAGACAGATCACTTAAGAGGGAAAAAAAAAAAAAAGCATAAGATATATATAAAGTTATGCACAACTTAAATTCGGTTAATGCAGATTTGTAGTCCTTGATATATAGGAGTATGCACAGAATATGTCACTTTCAATTTGGGTGATAGATTGATACGCCTGAGATTTGAATGACTGGTGAAGGTGACCCAACCTTTCTGTGAATTCTCTGCTGTCTTCTAGAATATTGTAGAGTATCATTGCTTCCTTTTTACTCTTTACTCTGTACTCCACAGTTCCAAATTTCTTGCTAGCCCAATCCATTACAAGATCGAGGTAAATACTCTATACAACAACACCGAATCCATAACCATATTGATATTGTAATTTGAACTAATAATGTGACAACTACATTCGACAAAAGGAATACAAGCAAACTGAACAAGGGCAAGATTAATCTTGACAAAACAATACTAGGAAAAAAAAAAAATCCATATCATAAATGTCTGAAAATCTTCTCTACAATCTGTATACACTTACATCTATATCACTAAAGGTTCCACATCCAGGAACCCATCAGACGGCGCTACAGCTGAAGATTGCAATACCTATGAGAATTCAAGAAGACTACAATATAGAGGAATTTATATAATCATACAAGTATTCTACAAGAGCATAAATCTTCATCAACTGTTTCTATGTACATCATCTCGGCCGAACCCTAAGCGCAGAAGGGTCAAGTAGATATCGTTTTCATAAACAATTGCGCTTTTCCCAGGAATGAAAAAGTTTACCAAGGGGAGATTCATCAATCAAGGACAACCTTGGGTGTTCCACTTTACATATTGTTAGAACCTGTAAAAACACAGCTAGAGATGAGAATATTGACATCAACTAGAACTTTGCACATCTTTTTGGGTGCACATGGTTCAAAATGTTTGCTGCATCGTAACATTGCGAGAAGAACAGAAGCAAGATAAAAGTTACCTGAATTTTACAGCATCTGTACGAGTTGTAATTTACCGGCATGCTTCAGATAAAAACTTGTGGAATTTGTTTAACTTTGCCTGGTTAAGTCTTGCACACAAATCTGATTGCGATTTTTTCCTTCTATTCTTTGCTCGGAAAAAGAAATCTTCTGTGTCCAGAACATAGGATATCTGTATGAACAGAACAGCACGATCACACATAGCAGTTGCACAAAGCAAACCAGAGATCAAAAGCAAAAATATATTAGCTGAATGGTATATCTGGTAGGATATAAAGTATGCCAGCTATACATGCGATCAACCATTACCAATTCACAAAACTGAGTGGAGATGTCTTTCAAAGGCACAGATGATTGTAATCTCTCATTGCAAGTTGGGCTAATATCAATATCCTAACAACTAAGATGAACACTGAAGCATGCTCTAGTAGCAATGCAGCGTCATCAAGCAAACAGGAATTTTTCACAAGGAAGTTCTATGAGAAAACATGGAGGAACAAATGGCCAGAATTAAATAAAAAAAGATAGTAATCAGATACTTATAATTGCATAAAATTATTTCAACAGACACACAGTTCAAGTGTTCAACTTGTGTGGCAGAAAAGAGTGGTATTTTCACCAGAAAGAAAATGAGATGTTACTGGAAAAGCTAACCAACAGACTGACAGAGCATTCCATGCACAAGTGACAACAAAGTGAAACACACCTTGGATGAACTGCAAGCTATTTTACATTCCAAGCCATTAAATAACTGAATGCCCTCCATAGCTTTTGACGTGGCCAAATATTCATCAAGTCCAGTATACTTCTTTTTGTTCCTGCATCAGAGAGCAGGTGAACCAATGATAAAAGGACTTCTAGAGGAGATCAAAGAAGTAATACGCTTAACTTCAGAAAAATTATGTAGTTTAAAGAGCATCCGTCTACCCTCCTTTCTCACTCCAAACCCTCTTCCCAGATCCCAGCCATAATGTCCTGTTTTAGAAATATGGTGAAAATCTTGAAATCACCAGGCAAATTTTTTTTTTTCCCCTTATTTAAAGATAAAGAACCATGAGAAGCCAGAACAAAGAAATTTGAAAACCATAGCACAGGATAGAATATTTACGCCATCCCTATGGAAGAGCACATATATATTTAGATCTAATTTTCAGTAATTAGCTATGAACATAGAAATTAATACCTCTGCAGCATAATTCCTTGGGATTCTTTTCTACTGGAGACAACTGAGAGAAAATCATTGTACAGATAAGCTGCAAAGTTAGGTTCTAGAGAAACTGCAACCATCTCAGGCTTCTCGTTTCCACTGTCCATCAGCTGAATTGACAAGCGAGCAGGGGAAGAGGACTAGAGGCACAAAAATAAGTAAATATTTTTTCCAAAAAAACACGGCATAGAAATATCAGCTATATGCTAAATACAAAAAAGAGCTGAGAACCAAAATCTTACAAACTCAAACCGGTAAATATTGTCTTCGTGCAGTAAAACACGTGCATTTTCATGATAGACTGAATCAACAAACTTTCCAGGTTTCCGTGATTTTTCATACTCATACAGTTGGAGAAGCTTATTGTCCATCTCATCAGTTGCAACAGCTTGAAGCTGTATGAAAGAAAGATCAGAAAAGAAAACATTAAACGTAGTTCTTTTCCCCTTTTATCTTAATACAAAAAGATTGGGTCAGAGCATCATACCTGCTTTACAAGTTTATATATCAGTTTGTCCAATGTAAATAACACATATGACTGATTTCCAAGAATAGCCCGGCAATCATCCTCAAACTTTGAATTATCAGATGAACCATCAAGCAGATAGTAAAGGGCTGTCATAAAACTGCAAAGAAATCAAAGTCACAATCTATCAAGCACCAAATAAAAGTATGATTCCATTGACTGTAGTATAAATGCTTCATTACCTAGCATATGGATCTGAAGGGCTAGAATCTTTCGAATTTCTCCATTTTGTTTCGGAGTTTGTTTTAGCAGCAAATAGCCTTTCGTACAATGTCTGGTACGACAACATCACAGATCAAGCAACTCCAATTAGTTTAGTCAACAGAAAAAAGTTAAGAGATGAGGACACACGGTCCATTTGGTAGATGGTAATTAATGGTGGCAATAATTTTACATGATTATTTTTAAAAATTGTCACATAGCAATGACCATGGAATATAACTCCATCCCCAAACATGTGTATTACGTCATAGATTTCCATTACCACTCAATACCACCTCTATAGTGGTAATGGTGTGGGATGTAATGGAAATTTATAAGTAAATAGACACATTATGGATGAACAAGTGTTTTCAATTTATCATGGACATTGTCATGTGTCTACAAAATCATGTATAAATTCATTAGCATTACCACCTTTTATTACCGACTATAAAATGGGCCGTTAGATGCAGAAGAAATGATAAAAAGAAATCAAGAACAGGAACATGTTCTTACTCGATGGAGCCTAAGTAGGACATAAAAATTATCATTTCCGTAAAAAACTCTAGAATCTTTCTTCTCAATGTCTCGAGAAACCAAAGACACATGTTTCGCAAGAGGCTTAACTGGCAACAGAAAACGTTCAGATAATGGCAATGGGCTTGCATCACCACCTGAATAGTGCACTTCAGCTTCACCTTCACTCTCAGCCTTACCTTCAATCTCATCATGTTCAACATCTTCCTCTTCTTCATGTTCCTCCCTAGAGCACTCGTCACCAGCAGATTCACTGACAGACATATCATCACCAGCCTCAGATGCATTTTCACTGTCCTCGTCATCAGCATCTGCATCATTTTCTACCCCTGCATCCTCGCCATTGCCAACTTGAGGATTCTGGTTGTCTGTATTACGTTTTACTTGCCCAGTTTGTGCCTCTCCATGTGCCGCAGAGTTATCTTCGTCAATATCACCATTTGGTGACAATTCACCTTCTTCTTTTTCAACTTTGGGTTGCCCAGTAGATTCTTCAAGGCGCTGATTCACTTTAGAGCCTTGGGTGAAGTTTCCATTGACCAGCGTGGCAGCTGTAGCATCCGTAGCCTGCTTGGCATCACAGGGCATTTGAAAGTCAGCAGAGAAGATAAATAAAAGACATGAGATCAGCTTCATAAAATAATATTCTATAAATGAATTGAATGCAAACATGACGTACCATTGATCGTGCTTGAATAGCATCAATAGAACTCTTGGGACCCTGAGAATCTTCATCACCATTGTCTGGCTTCAATATGATTGATTGAGAACCTTCAAAATGTCAATTCTCAGTATCGTAAAAGTCATAATAGTTACAAAAGGTAAACTGGTAAAGTATTTAAGTCCTTAACAAACATTGCACATCTATATAGTATACTGATGATAGGTACACTCCCTAAATATTTCAATTAGAGAAACTT